CGGTGACGAGACATAGGTTTACGCTAGAGACCCTAGCACAATTCAAGCAAAATTAGATTCTTATTCATGATGGCATATCATCTGCTAAGGAGGCCCACGCCAGAGCAAGGAAGATGATGGAACAAGTCCAGGAGATTGCCCTAGGTTCAGCCCCTGGCGACATCAATGACTGCCCGGACATGGTGGCACTTGCTACCCTCAGCTTCATAGAGCACGTAACAAGTCACCATTCATTTATCCAAAAGATTATCCCATTTGTTTCCCTCGCTAACACCTATGTCATTTATAGGCCCACACAGCCTTCCTTAAACTAGTTGAAGAATACCTTGGCACATCATTCTAGAACTCCCAGGCTCTCACTTACTTAGGGGAGAAAGAAGGTGTGATCTGGTCCCCAAGGGAGTAGCTGCAAAAGCGCAAGCCCAGCTCTAAAAAACCCAAGGGAGAAACCATATTCTCCAGGACGAGAACGCCCGCCTCCGAGAGGTGAACAAGAAGCTGACCTACGACTGAGAACTCTAGAAGGCGGAGAGCAAAAGACATAGAAAGGAGATTGAGCGGCCGCGGGGTTCCGCCAAGTCCACCTGGTTCCATGACGCAGAGAATGTACTAAAGACCAAAGAGTCCCAAGTGGAATCTTTGGAGAAGCAAGTTGCCGGCATCAAGGAGCAAACAAAGGATTTGGAGCTGGAATTCTAGAAATTTTACTCCAATACAGTCAGGCTAGAGTCAGAGAAGACCACCCTTCAAAAGGCACTAAAGGAGAAAGAATCTTGTCTATTGGCGTCTACGCAGTTGGCTGAGAACCAAGCAACGACCATCCAAGAATAGGGTGCACGTATCTCCAAGCTGGGGGGCAAAGTTACATGAGGCCCGGCGAGACAATGCCTTGGGGAACGAGGAAAAACTCTGCCAGCTCGTGCAAAAAAAGGTTATCCTTGACAGGATGGCAGTAGAGAAGTCCGGGTCGAAGAACTCCAAGCCCAAGTAGCTACCCTGGAGAAAGACATGGGTTTTGTTCCCTTGCTTGAGGAGAGAATCGACACTCTAGAGGGAGATGGCTGAACAGCAAGCACAAATTGCTGCATTGTCTACCCGGGCTAGCACTTGTTATGCGGAAGGCATCTTCAACATGCAGACCTACATTTATGGGAAAATTGAAGAAGACCTGCCTCCCCGGACCAGCATGGAGTCTTTCATAAAGCATTATGGGCTTCTTGCCAGTCCTTTTATTGTATCTCTTCATGGATCCTGGATTCCCGAGAAACATGACATTGATATCTATTTTGTACTCCGTCCACCTAAGATCTTCGCATTACATGTTATGAGGCTTAACCCATTTTATTTTCAATTCAATTTATTTGATTATAGGACTAAAATTTCAAAATAAAATTTATATAGTAAAAACTACGGGAAAAGTTTTAATAAGCTAGATGTGACAAGACTATATTATTTTACGAAATGAGTAGTAAAAATAAGCAAACAAAGTGAGTTAAGTTTGACCATGTAAATAATGTCCAGGAAGATCTATGGCGGACAGAGAGAGTATTATTGTGTATTAACCCTTTTTTTGCTATCTGCTATGTTGCCACTATGTACATACACATGTGCACCCACTTACACTTTAATTGTTCTTGATCCTTTACGTAAACCGGCCTACTTCAATTTTCCGGGCCCATTAGTGAATCGGCCCACCTCGGGCTGACAAAACCCTAGTCAACCTTGGGACCAATCAACCATTTCCTCTCACCAATTGCTGCTTTTATTACAACTTTCCATCCCTTGTGCATTAGTCTTCACCTTTCTACCATGGCCGAGGGTGCGAAAAAACAAGTCTTCATCGACCTCGCCATTTTTTATTCTTCGTCCTCAGAACCTTCTGCTTCTAAGACTTCTTCTTCCTTTCCTCTGTCACCTCTCGTGACAGAATGGAATTGAGTTCTTTGGAGTTTTCCTGATGTTTTCCACGTCCCCAACATTCCTTGGCTCCTTCACCCCCACACCCCCAAGGCTTCCTTTTGGGGAAATAGATAGGGACTCCATGACACTTCAAGAGTTTTCCCAATATTAAAGGATGTGTCGGATCAAGGCGGAGGAGGCTCGCCCTGCTACAGAAGCATAAAGGTCTCGTTGGAGTCGCTCTAGTTCACTTTCGATCCCACAATTGTCATATGCTCATATCTTAGCAGTTGCGCCACCAAACTCGTGGCTAGAGGTAGGACTATGATATGGGTGGAACCCCACCATATGACGCCAGAGGGAGAACAGGGAAGGTAGGCCATGGAGGGGCCCTTCTCCGCCCCATTCTTCTTCCTAAGTGCATGTGTGCACTCCTCTTTGCAGCTTCCCCCGCTCAAGATGTCTTCATCCATTCAAACTTTTCACGGCGGTTATCTAGTCTAGAGGAGAGCATCGATAAAGAATACTGGTGAGGTTATTGCTCAAGAGGAGTGCACCCATAAAGAAAACCGCCGATAAAGAATTGAGCGAGGTTATTGCTCAAGAGGAGGATCTAGAACCTAAGACCAACTCTGAACCAATCAATCATCAGGTCCCGGTTCTAGAAGATTTACCCAGTTCAACACCATCACAGAAACCCGAGAGCATAACAACTCTCGCTAGAGCTACTGTGGTGATGTTACCTGAATCCCTTCCTAGCCAAACTAGCAAAGTCGTGCATGAGGTGGAACCAACTAAGGGACCTGACTCAGAACCACCTACGCTCACTCAAGCCAAAGAAGGATGAGGAGGTTTTGCCAATGGCAATAAACTTCCCTCTTCTTAATCGTGTTGAAGACACACCTCTAGAGGATTCTGTTTTGAAGAAAATAGAGTCCACTACTTACCCCCAAGATTCCACTATCAAGAGGAGAAATCTATAGACGAGGAAATATTGTGCGTAGAAAGTCCAACTCCGTCTATAGAAACATGTGCAAATAATGATTCCGACCAAACTCTACTTGACTCCCTATATATATATATATATATATATATATATATATATATATATATATATATATATATATATATATATATATATATATAGGGGGCGGTTCAGGTGAGAATGCACCTTGGTGAAAGAAATAAGAATAAAATCTAGCCTTTGGATCTGATGCATCGTGCGGCTCATATTGCATCCTGCGCTCAGGTTTTGAGATAGTGCATTTTCAAAGGATTATGGTGCATTTCAACGTGATGCATTTTAAAACCATTTTGATGCAATCCTGACCCTTAGATCTCACAATCTAAAGCACCAGATTCATTCTTATTTCTTTCATAAGATTGCATTCTCACCAGAACCAAAATCTATATATATATATATATATAGGGATTGACTCCAGTGAGATGATACCTTATGGTAAGATGACATGCTTCAATGAGATGACACAACACACAACACTGCTAATGGAAAGCTCATCAACTGTCAATGCAAAGCTCACCAACTACCAATGCAAAGCTCACCAACTGTCAATGCAAAGCTCACCACTTTTTTTTAAATAAAAAAAGTTAAAAAAAATTGCACCACCACTCAACCACCGGTCCACGGCAACAGTGGGGGTCATCGGTGGTGGCCATTGGTCATGGGCGGTCAAAGTGTAAAGCTCACCAACTATCAATGCAAAGCTCACCAACTGTCAATGGAAAGCTCACCAAGGAACAATGCAAAGCTCACCACTTTTTTTAAAAAAAAAGCTAATAAAATTGCACCACTAGTCAACCACCGGTCCACGACGGTAGTCTGCAGCGGTTGGAAGTCAGCACCACCGCCCTTTGTTTGTTTTTGAAATCATTTTAAACTTTAAAGTGTGGTGAGCTTTGTGCACATATTCGGTGAGCTTTGCAATGATAATCAGTGAGCTTTGTTGTTGGGCTTTGTAAGCATTTAACCATCAAATTTTGAAAAAAAAGTAAAGTGATGGAAAATCATGGTGAGCTTTGCAGTGATGAGTGGTGAGCTCTAGCGTCATCTTACCATAAGGTGTCATCTCACCGGAGTCAATCCCATATATATATATATATATATATATATATATATATATATATATATATATATATATATATATATATATATATATATATATATATTGGTTCTGGTGAGAATGCAATCTTAGGAGAGAAATGAGAATGAATCTGGTGCTTTAGATTGTGAGATCTAAGGGTCAAGATTTCATCAAAATTAGATGCACCAAAATGGTGCGAAAATGCATCACGTCGAAATGCACCATAAACCTTCGAAAATGCACTATCTCAAAATCTGAGCGCAGGATGCAATCTGAGCCGCACGATGCATCAGATCCGACGGCTAGGTTTTATTCTCATTTCTCTCCACAAGGTGCATTCTCACGAGAACCGGCCCCTATATATATATGTGTGTGTGTGTGTGTGTGTGTGTGTGTGTGTGTGCGTGCGCGCGCGCGTGTATATAGACACACCCAGTACAGGAAAGCCAAGGTATTTCCATGTCAACACATGAGATTAATTTTGTCTCTATCTATATGTTGTTTGTAGGAAAACTGTACATTAGCAACAACACGGGGCAAAGTTTGAATCTTTCTACAACATTTGCGAATTTAGCTCTTTAGAAATATCCATGGACTTGTTCCGGTTCCTACCCTGTAAATATTTCAAGAATGAATTCAGCTTCTCATTATTTTTACTAAACACACTCTAGGCATCGGCCAGATGGGACGTGTTCTTACCTCCAAAAGCCAGCCATGGCTCTCAGACTCATATATATGGTAAGGGCAATCCATATTCCAACAAACCCAGATGTTGATGAAAGAATGAACAAAAGTATGATGCAGATGATAGCCACTGTAACCTGCAGATTCAGGCAAAGCGTTATTGGTAATAAATCTTTATCACTGGTAACAAGTTGCTACACTCCTCGCCTTATAGTTGCAGCAAAAAAAGTTACAAAATGGGATGGATTGACAGACTTACCATGGAATAGGAAGAATATGCAAAGTCTGATGCACCAAAGTTCACTCCATCAAAAACAAAGGCCAAAGCATTGATTGGTTGAGTTGCTGCAACAAACTGATGTATGCCAAGAAAGGGCAAGAAGTTTCTTAGTTGTAAAAATATGGGAGTGAATTTAGTGCTGTATGTACTATGGGCTATGTCATAATATATTTCTCAAGAATGGAAGAAGAGATACCGGGATGCCAACACCAATAAGAGCGATGACATCAGCGTCTTTTGTAAACAGTCTCGCTCCGAAATGTAAACCAACTCCAAGAAACACAGCGAGGATCAGCCCAAGAGCTATTCCCAGCTGCAGGCCTCGAGAATTAATGATATTTCTCCAAAAGAAGTACAAAAAATATCTGAAATGTAAGTTGAAGAAAAGCACCTGTAGCACACGGGATGCAGTAGAAGTTGCCTTACTGAACTCGTTCTTTGCGAATGCAGTTGCTAGTATTGCCTGAACAAGTAGAACATGAAAATGCTCAATTATGTTGAACTTCTCACATCAGGTTTTCTTTCTAGTATACAAGTGTAACATTATATGATCCTTTAATTTTATGTTAGTTAAGCTCAGTTTAACATTGCTCACATATATAATTTACAGTGAACCCCAGCTCAAAGACAATTTATTTAGTCAGATTATTTATTTATTTATTTATTATTTTTTTTTAAGGAAAAATTCATTTTATTAAATAATCAAAGAATACAAACGTCTGAACAAGCGGGAACAGGCTCCACACTTGTATAAACAGTAAGCAACAACCATAGAACTAAATGCGAGGAGCTTATCGGATATATGGGAACATAAACTTAAGTACAACTACAAAGCCGGCCTACAACATTTCACTAAAAGATCTAGGAATAAAATCATTCCCGGAGCCCCAACCCCCTCAAGGGTAAGGCCTAAGGTCAGATAATCCAGGTCAAGAAAAATGTTGTGAGCCAAGAAATGCAATCGACTTAAGTCCAGTCTAAAATCCAGAAAAACCCAACTAAAGAAGAAGTAAAAATAATAAGTGCAAAACTAATCCAAGTGAGCGAAGGATGAGCCCAGAATATAAGCCCAATGTAAGGCCCAAACCATGAGAGTCCAAAAGCAGCCAATCCAAAAAACCCATAAGTCAAAGTCCAAATCCAAGAAGTAGAAGGCCCAACAGATGAAGCCCATACCAAAGACAGCCCAAAACCACAGCCCAAAGTAATCAATTCCAGCGTCCAAAAACTCCAGCCCAAACCACCGAGCAGCCCATCCACCGAAGCCCAGTAGCCACGGCCCAATGCAATCCAAGTCTAGTCTCTTGCCCGTAGTAGCCCAAGTCCAGCCGAAACCCAAGTCGCCCAATTCCGAAACCAGCCCAACCGAAATGGCCTAATCCCAGAAGTAGTCCAGCCATGTAAAATATCCAAGTCCAAAATGTGTGAAATCCAATGTAATCCAAAGATCCAAAATGATGAGAATGCCTAGAAGAAGAGTGATCATAGAAATGAAGTCCAAAAGGATAGAAGAACGAAAAGAGAAAGAGGTACCACTATGGGTCAGTGGCCAACCCTTAGCCCATTACCGCCGACAGATAGCGGGTGCTCTAACCTCGCGCGCAAGCACTGACGCAGGCGGAAGAAACCTCGCCGGGCCCCACCCAGCCTCCCGACGAGGGCACCGATTTGATGACGGTACCACGCATACGCACTTTCCGTGTGCGCCACGGGTGCTCAAATCCTCAATCCGCAAGCACTGACGGACATCCTTTACCGCGGACGCGTACGTGCGCCTTTTGACCGCAGGCGCGGTCGTTAAGGCACTCAGATGAAGTGCGAGATGGAAAAGCCTTTACCGGACAGCCACCTCTGCCCGGGCTAGGATGCCAAATACCGCTGGCAACTACGGGCGCTAAAAACCTCAGACGCTAGCGCCTACGTACCCCAAGAGCCGCAGGAGTCGACGGGGACGAAAGAAACTTTGCGAAACTACGCCTGTCATCTCGCAAAGGCACCGTTCACCGTCGGTACAACACGTGGCCCCACATCGCGGGAACCAACGGGCACCCTTTAACCGCGGGTACATACGTGCGCCTCTTAACCGCAGACGCGGTCGTTAAGGCACCCAAATCAGTGCAATTAGGGGTTACCCCCCATCCTCATCAATGCGAAAGAAGGGCAGATCTTCCATAGGAAGGAGAGATCGTACCCGAATGTCAAGATCCTGCAGATTAGTAAACTCCCGCGTCCCCTCTGTACTATCCACGGCCCACAATGCCAACTCAATCGTCGGGCCATTCGCCCGCACGTCACAATGAAACCACTCGACCGTCGCGATGGAACAGAGGAAACGCAGTCTAACATATACATCATGAAGGTACCACGGGGTACCTTCTCTAAAGAAGCAAGCTAACTCTGAATGATGGGACTCCACGTGGATACGCAAGAAGGACTGGGATATACACCACTGAATACACCGAAGAAGCATGTCCATCCCTCCACGTTCCACTGGGTCCCACCTGAATGCAATAGAAGAGAGAGCATAAAGAAACTTACCTGTCGAGTCACGCACGATCGCTGCATATGCCCCACAAAGCGGGGCCCTCGCCACATTCACCTTGATGGTGCCACCCGGCGGTGGGACCCACCGAATCGGCACCACCCTCTTGCGTCCAGAGCCTCGTCGAACGTGCTCCATGATCACCGACCATCGGGAAGGTAAGAGACCCCCGCTAGGCCAGCGACGATAGATGCACTCCGACACCGCCGTAGCCACCCGAAAGATAATGCGTGCGAAGTTGGGGCGAGCATCCCCATACTTGCACGCAGCATAGTGCGTCCAAATCTCCAAAGAATAATCATCGGCAGGCGGTGGAACAGGAACGAGAGCATCCTGCTCCTCGGCCTCTGCGCCCACCATCTACTCAAGACGGACCTCAAACTGTGATGTGTGCCCCGGATATGGGCAGACTCTGTGAAATAAGTCCAAACACGCCGCGCCATGCTCCCATGATAGAAAATGTGTGTAATGGTCTCCCGTCCTGGCGGCGAACAACATAAGCACCGAGAAGGCAATGCAAAGCCAAATCTCGCCAGGACATCATCAGTGGGAAGGCGCATTTCCAAAACGCGCCATGCTAGAAAGGACATCTTATAGGGTAAGTGTTTTTGCCAACACCTCTTAAGCACAGTGTCCTCCACCTCATCATTCCTCCTCGGTCTAAGAAGCTCCTTAGCAGAAGCAAGAGTAAACTTCCCATCCGTAGACGGGGTCCATACCGGAGTCAGATTATTTATTTATTTATTTATTTAATACATTCTAACCTGTCCTGCAACGGCCAACCCATCAGCTAGAAGAGATGTTGCCAACCAAACCTGCAAGCACACCTGGAATGCAGCCATTTGTGTCGGTCCCAATCGTGCAGCTAACGATGCAGCTAAGGTTACACAGAATGTAACAGCTATCACCCTCATCAATAACAGAAAACCTAAGTTTTCAAACATTAAAATACATATTAAAAAACATAGGGGTTGCAGTAATATATAGAACAATAGATACCATGATTTTCATTTTATAAAACATTGGAACATGCACTATGAGAAAACATTGATAGAAGCATACCATTTTTAAGAAATCGAGCAAATTGCAGATCTTTGAGACTAGGGGGGATTAAATCAACTTTCTCCACTAATCTCCAAAAAAGTATGACCGAAATAAGGTACCTGAAACAGATATTCAAGTGAGAAACTATTTTGGAAGTTTCATAGTATCATTCCAGTATGAGAGGTTTGTATCTTTGTGTATGCTCCTTGTCGAACTTACTGAAATATGATATGAGAATGTGCTGCACCTCTTACACCGAGCCCGAGAACAAATATGAAAATAGGATCCAAAATTATGTTTGTTAAATCTCCCACCACTGAAAGACAGAGACGATAATTTTTTTTTAAAAAAATTAGCAGGGTTCATTTCCCAACATTTTCTTTCTCTAGCAATTTCCGAGTTCCAAAAGGACCCACCAGTAGCAAAAAGTGGAGTTTTTGTGTCCTTAAATCCTCGGAAAACCCCCTACATGGCTAAAGAGAGGAGAACTGCCGGCGCCCCAAGTGACCTCAATGCAAAGTACTGCTATGCGGGTTTTAACATCAGTGAACCCTATAACCATTGCAAAAAACAAGAATTCAATAAACTAAACCTGCCTACAAAAGAAAAGAGATGAAAAACTTTTTAAAACATCCCTTTCACTTCCACCACTCAACTTATAGATTTGATCCCCATAAAATTCAACACAGGCTTTGCTCCCGCTATTAGCAGTATAGCTTGGATGATGCCAAGGATGCCACCAATGATCATAGCTGATGAGGCTGATGGGATGTGACGTTTTATGCTATTGTTAGAAGCTTCTACTTCAAAGCTGTTTGCAATTGGTTCGTATATTCGTCCACTCTCTTCAGAATCTAATCAGCAAAGTTGATGTCAAACAAACCAATAGATTTTTCACAGTATTTTGACCTTAACTCATTCCAAAAGATCCTCAAGAATGAATCTTACCCCACATTTATATACTAGAATAGACTTAAACACAATAAATAAAAGTACAAAACAAACACACAAATAAACAACCCATGTGGGAAATTCAACATAAAACATGAAAATATTTTCCACCCCTGTTTGTTTCCATGAAACAAATAGGGCCATAGATAGTAGTAGAAGCAAAACAGCCATGGACAGAAGGTATACCATTTTGAGGTATCAACTTATTGCTTTCACAGCCCGGCGTTGATCCACCAATGTCAAAGCTTTCAGGGTCTTGAGGAACTGAATTTCCCTTAACAATAGTATCTTCCTCAGCAACGAAAGAGGTAGTGACACTGACAAGGGGGAAGATTGCGATCCTAGAGACTTGGTTGAAGACAGCAATAGAAACTCCCACGGCAGCAAGTTCCACTGAACCTGTGCACCATTTTCAAAACAAGACTTGACATAAACCGATTAAAGCAAACCCACATAATTAACCACTAGACAAATACACACCACGATTAAAGCATCAGCAAATAATTGAAGTGGATACCTAATTGGCCTATGAAAGCTGTGTCGACTAGAGATGCAATAGGATCAGCTGTCAAAGCAAGTGCTGCCGGGACTGCAATCCTTGCTATTTCAACACCCAGCTCATCTAACTTGAAAACTGATCTGTTACACCTTCAAAATTGATAATAAGATACACATAAAACTACCTTTTCAAAAATAGGTCTGTTTATACCTTCAAAATTGTCAAGAAAATATACAGAATATTATACCAATTTGTAAATAATAAAATTTTTAAAAGCATGGGATTTTACATATTGTTCAAAGTGAGACAATGTAACACCCAAACCGCATAATCCGAATACACACACACACACACACACAGACATACATACATACATACATACATACACACACACACACACACACACACACAGATATATATATATATATATGAGCGGATTCACGTGAGAATGCACCTTGGTGAAAGAAATAAGAATAAAATCTAGCCTTTGGATCTGATGCATCGTGCGGCTCAGATTGCATCATGTGCTCAGAATTTGAGATGGTGCATTTTCAAAGGATTTTGGTGCATTTCGACATGACGCCTTTTCAAACCATTTTGATGCACCTACTTTTGATGCAATCATGACCATTAGATCTCACAATATAAAGTACTAGATTCATTCTTATTTCTTTCATAAGATCGTATTCTCACTAGAACTAATACACACACATACACACACACACACACACACTCTAGGGGTGACAGTTGGTAGGAGGGCGGTAAGAGCGCGATGCAGCTGACAGAGAATACGTGACGGTTGGTGGTGATGCGTCGGACCGACTCGGACAAAGGTGACACACTGAAGTGGAAGGAACAACTATAGTTATGTTTGTCAGTTTGCGGTAGAAAGAGATAGAATTGAGGGGTATTATAGAAAATTCAACACAAATTTTAACTTTCTTTAATATTTGTGCCAAGTCAAATTGAGAAGTTTAAATTTGGACGGAGGGAGTATATGTTCCCGAACCAGCTGGTTAGTACAAAATTGATATCCACATACAATATTTTCTAAAAGGAATTAAAACCATTTAATTCAAAATCCAAACCTTTCAAAATAGTTAAATATTTATTAGAGTTAATTCAGAACAATGCGAAAACTAAACTATCATTTAATGAGTCATTACCATAATATTATTAACCGAATTCATTTACATTAGAAACTCATCATATTAATTATCTATTAGAATTGTGCATCGGTACATCTCCTCCGTCTCGCTGCCATCCAAGATCAACTTGTTCTTTGCCATAGTCTTACCTGCATGCAGTCAAAACAACTGCACGTTCAACTTGATGCTGAGTGAGAAATATCTAACGTCAAAGTAAACAAATAAGCAAATCCACAGTTCATAACAGCCGTGTGATATCACTCAACAACATACAATTCACATACAGTGTTTATCACATAAATACCAGGCACTTGCCCATTCACATTCTCATTAGACATGTTGATTCTTCAGACTTTGTGGATCACCAGTAACCTATACTTATATTCTATACTAGACTTAGGACTCTAATATACTTTCTTTTGAGTCACGGTTGTTCCCACAGGATCAATGGGTCATGCTCAACCAGCAAAGGAGTTCTCCGTTGGGTGGGTGAAGTCCTCACCTGATGAATCACCAGGAAATTCAAGGGTACCCATACGTACATTTTTACTTGAATACCATTGGCCCCAGTAGGCACCACATAGCTTAAATTCCTTGTTCAAATACTTGTGTCGGTCCTAGAGTTCCTCTAGGTAGACTTACATCAGCTCATGGTGTTGGAGCAACACCCATGTAACATGTACTTTGCATGTTGGATCAGCCCACAAATACCATTGCATTCAAGGTTGATTCAACCATAGCAATATCAATCCATACAAGTGTTACATTAAAACATACAAATATCAATTCATACGAGTGTTGGGTAAACACATGACAATCAAACATACCACATAGCGGCCTAATACTATGTGTCACCATGCACACTTAGCGTCATACAACATACAAGTCTTGGAATGCATCCTTGATAGTTTTCAAAAGGGGATTAATAACTGCACAAACCTGCTTAGACGGTCACAGTACTGAGGTACCGCCGCACGGTAGCTCAGTACGGCTAATAGGTACTTGAGTACCGTGACCATCACCCATTTGGGAGGTTTGGCAGTGAAGAATAGCCTGTAATGGTAGCTTCCGATCGTTGGGCGATGGTGAAGTTCCATTCAGTACTTCGACAAAACACGTTGACAACATTAAGACCTGTGACGGTAGCAAGGTATCGCATGGTGGTACTAACCTACCGTCATTTGCAGGAACATTTTGGTTCGAAAAGTTCGGGTAGTAAACTAGAGCTTCCATCCATGATTTCGCAAATCAAACATCTCAAAATAGTAGTAAATACACACCCAATATCACATAGACATTCAATAGTCATATAAGGCTTAATGCATGCGTTCTACCCATTGATTTAATCAATAAACCCTAAAATCCCTGAGAAACAAATCATACAAGTTCTCATGGAAATCAAGCAACATAAGAATTACAAATGTAGATTTCAAACCTAAATGAGTACTCTGACATTAGAGGTCTACGTACTCACCTCAAAAACAATGAAGGGTTAAATGAGACGAATGAGGGGCTTAGCGATGGTGGTTGGCACGATGAAGGGGCAACTTCTCTTCATTATCATCATCATCTTCTTCTTCTTCATTCCTCTACTCAATCGATCGCATGGGGAGAGAGAGAGACCAACGTGAGTGAGAGAGTGGACATACAACGTGAGTGTTTAGTCCCACGCAAGGAATAATTATATGGTAAAGAGATTCGTGCTCCGTAAATGATTAACGTACCTCAGGAAAAATATACTTTTCAGGCTAACTTGCTTTGAATTTAGATTCGATCGCACCGTTGATTCGTCTCTTCAAACCCTACACAACGGTATAGTTTTACTAATTAATCGAAAGGTATTCATAATTAACTTCGGGTCCAATTTAATAAGTAACTAATTATTTTTTTAATTAACTAGTTCTGATAGGCCAAGTTTCAGGACGTTCACTACAAGAAAATATCAAATTTGCAATAGACACATTACAACACACAAAATTCCGTTACAGAATTGCAACGGAATTTTTGTTTTCAATAGAATTATTTCGCAACGAATTTTTTTGGAACGGAAAGTAAAAGTATCTGTTTCAATTTTGGCAGGAGGTTGGTGCCTTTTTCTGGGAATGATCTGCAACAGATATTTGCAACAGATATTTGCAACAGATGTTCTGCTGCAGAATGTCCGCGACAACTTATTCAACAAATGCAACGGCCGAATCAGTTGGTTTACTTCTGTTGCTAAAATAATATTTTTTTACTACATAAAGTCAAATTAGTAGAATTATTTACATTTAAATTTATTTAATCGCAATTTAAAATTTACATATGCATCAAAAATAGTACTCTCTCTGTCTACCATAGATCTTCCCAGATACTATTTACAAGGTCAAACTTAATTCACTTTGTTTGTTTATTTTTACTACTATTTTATAAAATAATATAGTGTTGTCACCTCTAGTTTTGTAAAACTTTTCATGTAGTTTATTACTACATAAATTTTATATTAAAATTTTACCCTTATATTTAAATAAATTGAATTGAAAATAAAGTCGGTCAAGCCTTGTAACGCGCAATAAGAAGATCTTAGGTGGACAGAGGGAGTAACATATAAGTTTGAAATATAATAATTCTGATATACATGTAGTCACAATTATAACATTACAAGTGAAAAATATGCTAGGTTTGGGATGAAATTTTGATGGACTTTATTACAGGATTACCATTATAATGGGGATTTACAGTTATTTTGGTGGTCGTGGATAGATTATCAAAATATATACACTTGGGGACACTTCCAACAGACTTTAATGCTCTTCGGGTAGCATACTTATTTGTGGATATCGTAGTTAAACTCCACAGATTTCCAAAAACCATTATGCCAGATCGTGATAAGGTCTTTCTTAGTAAATATTTGCATCAGACACTTAAGTTATGTGGCAGGACACTCCACACAAGTACGGCATTCCACCCGCAAATTTATGGGCAAACTGAGGTTATGAATCGTAGCATCGAGCAATATCTTAGCGCTTATGTACTCGAGAAACCTATAAGATGGAATGTGTTATTGCCATGAGCTGAATATGCGTCGAACACAAGTTGTAGTTCTAGATTAAAGATGACCTTGTTCCAGGCTTTATACAGTCGAGAACCTTTATCAATCCTACCTTACACCAAGGGGGACTATGTCGTACCAGCTATGGATGTGCTCCTCACAGAAAGAACCGAGCTTCTTCGATGTTTGCGCGAGCATTTAGCCGAGTCAAAAGAACGCATGCAAGCATTCACAAATCAGCATCGCTAGAATGTGAATTATGCCATGGGAGATTGGGTTTTGTTGAAGCTTCAGCCATATAGACAGCACTCTGTGGTTCGTTGGGGTTATTAGAAGTTAGCAAGATGTTTTTATGGTTTGTTCCAGGTGCTTGAGCGTGTCGGGGGTGTTTCATATAAGCTGCTCTTACCTAAAGGATCTCAAGTACATACTGTCTTTCATGTATCCTTACTTTGTCCTTTTTGAGGCGGCGCCACAACCACTCCAGCATTACCCTTGCCAGATAATTTAATCGATAGGTAGGCCCCCAACTCAACTGGTAAGTGTGCATGGCTTGAGGATGACACTGATGCATGGACAACCAATTAAGCAGGCGTTGGTAGAGTGGTCTGATGGGGGGTGTCTGATGCCACATGGGAACTCGTGGAGCGGCTGAAGTTACTTTTTCCTACCATTCACCTTGACGACAAGGTAATTTTGAAGAAGGGGAGAGTAATACGAGGAGTCTTAGGAACGCTAACGAGAATGAAGGGGGGTGCAGGCGACCGAGCCCCCATTAGAAGAGACGATGAAGACGAATAATATGTGATCCCAATAGAGATCTGTGGTCAAAGGACAAGAAGGCCACCAGGGTGGCAGAAAGATTATATTACCTTGAATAACCTAGATTTTAGTAGATGAGTCAAACTATAAATTCCTTCGAGGGTTTCTTTACGGTTCTTTACCTCGTCGCTTTTTTAAAACCATTAGGGTAGATAACATAGTTAATTAGGGTTAGGGTTTATTTCATATAAGTAGGAGGTTCCATACGCATATGAAATATCAAGAAAGAAGTATTAACAATAAACTCTCTCTTCGTCTTCGGCCGTCCTCTCTATGGCATTTCTCTCTCTCTCTCTCTCTCTCTCTCTCTCTCTCTTGCCTCATCTTCTAGAGCTCGAAGATGCTCGAAGTCTTCATTATCCGATACGATCTATGTATCATCTAAACTTGAAAATTATGCTTACAAACACATAAATTATGTTCATGCATATTTCAATGATTTTTACACAAAGCCTAAAAATTTTGCTCTTTTTTATAATAAAAAGCCATAGGAGATATGTACTTGTAAAATTCTCCCTAAAGTAATGACGTAGTTATTAAAGATATGTTTAGTGCGAACATCTCGTGCAGGCACTTGGGTTACCTACGCTGGTTTTCAAGGACATTTAGGATATAGGGGAATGAACTTCAAAATTGTAACCAACATAGTGCTTGAACTCTTATATAAATGTTAGGTTAGCTACTGTCGGCAATGACATCCTGATTAACATAATGGAATTTTTTCTCTTTTATATTTATTCATTTTTGCAAACTTATTAAATAATTACATTGAATTCCAACTTTAAATGCAACTTTCTAATTATTTAATATTAAAATTATAAAGATTAATTGTCTAAATATACTCTCTTTAATTATTGTAATGGTGATTATATTCTTTATACACATTATTGAAACAATAATATTTTGGGAGAAAGTATTTCTCTTGTCTTTCTAATGATTACAATATGAACAAGGGTTGTGTTTATATAGGATCCCACAGGCTAGTTATTGTATATGGAAACAATTACAAAATGAAAGAAATACACAAGAAAATAGAAATATACAAGGAAACTACCATACACATAAAAATAATATATACACAGATCTTCTTTCCTTTAACACCCACCTCAAGTTGGAGCGTGCAAAAGAAAAATGGCCAACATGGGAATAAGAAACTCCAAACGTGATTTTCCCAACGCCTTCGTATGTATATCTGCAAGTTGATGTGAATAAGGAACATGGTGCATGTGAATCACACCACGAAGAAGCTTGTCGCAAACAAAATTACAGCTAATTTCAATATGTTTTGTGCGCTCATGGAAAAATGGATTAGCATCAATATGAGTGCAGCCTTGCTATCACAGTGAATATACTTAGGATTAGTGTGCAAAACACCCTAGGGAGCGTTAAAGGCTCTTTAACCACTTGATCTCACAAGTAACAACATCAAGAACCCTATACTCAGTCTCAGTAGATGAAAGTGTAACCGTTGTTTGTTTGTCTTCCAAGAAATAGGTGAATTCCAAAGCTAAAAAAACATCCACTTAAAGAGTGCCTCGTAAGAGGACATGCAACCCAATCAGAATCACACCACCCAGGAAGTTGTAAATCACTATCAGCAGAGAGGAGAATTCCATGACTTGGGCACGCTTTCAAATACCGAACAACACCAAGGGCAGCAATCCACTGATTCTCTCGTGGTTCCTTCAAGAATTGTGCCAAAGTATGCACAACATAGGACAACTCGGGGCAAATGAGAGATAAATAAACCAGACACCCAACTAGGCAACGATAAAGTTATGGATCAATAAGAATTGGAGCTTGGGAATGAGCCAAGAGATGATTGGGCCCCATCAGTGCTTCTTACGGGTTGGCTCCAAGTAGACAGCCCTTAGTGGTAATATCTAGAGCATAATTTTGTTGACAAAGAAAGATCTCAAATGTACTTTGAGCAACTTCAATGCTAAGTATGAAAACAATCAGCCAAATATAATTTGAATTTGGCTATCATCTCCTCATTATCTCTAGGAATAATCAAATTATCTACATAGATCAGAACATGAATCACTCATTTTTTTCCAACAAAGGAGAATAAGGTGTAATCATAGATGGATTGAACAAAGCCATAATGTCTCAAAGCTCCCAACAGTTTACCAAACCAGCATTGTGGTGCTTGTTTCAACCCATATAAGGATTTCTTAAGTTTGCACACCATATCAGAAGAGTTTGAAAAACCTGGTGGCAAGCGCATATATATCTCATCTTGAAGTTCTCCATGTAGAAACGCACTGTAAGCATCCATTTGATGCAACCCCCAGCCGTGAGCAACTACAACAGCCAAAAGTGTCTGCACTATGGTTAATTTTACCATTGGAGCAAGCGTCTTGTTGTAATCGAGACCTTCCGCCTGATGATTACCAAGTAATAACCAACCTGGCCTTGTATCTCTCAACACTTCCATAAAACTGGAATTTGATCTTATATACACACTTGCACCGCAAAGGTTTCTTATGATGAGGAGGGGGGAACAAGTGTACGTCCATGTGTGTTGTAAGAAAACATTTGTATCATTGCATGGCCAAAGTGTGCATGGCCTATAACACCCCAACCTGCGTAACCCGAAACCACGAGTTAGCGAATCGGGTTGTTACGAATTTGGTATTCACATGTATAATATTTTTAAACACTTAGAAGTAAAGCGAACATTTATAATTATTTAAAAACAATTCATCATTTAATCGGAGTAAATATTTGAAACGATACGGAAGCTTTAAAACAACATCGTCAAACATTCCTGTAGTTTAACAAAATAAAAGTCAACAAGTATTTTATTCAATTTCAAACAGCTCAGGCCATCCACCAGCGTCACGCTTCACTGTCCTCTAGGCTGCTCCTCATCCAATCCTTGATCCCTACCTGTAAAAATAGGGAGAGTGGAAGTATCTAACGCTAAAACTAACCCATAGACTAGTACCCATTAATATATAATCAAACAATATCAGATGAATCACCAAATATCATTATCCAACTGTACCACTATTTCCTCTTATAATTCAATTTAGTTCTTACGCATACTCACTCCATCTGCCTGCTAGATATAATCCAATTCATACTTACGGGAGTAATGGAATCCAGGCTCTCGCCCAAACCCACACTCATAACTCCAAAGTTCTCACAATGGAGGGGGTTGAGGCCCCCGCTGGCTCTTGCCAAGGGTCAATGACCACCGTGCGCACATTTTTAACCCTCGAGACTACCAGGTATACGACGTCACTTGCATGACCTTAATTTCCAATCTCAATCCCATTTGTGATTTACAATACCTGATTAAACACAAATTTGCCTTGTACTATAAGGTGGCCTATTTCTAAATTTTAGCTCCACACATATATAATATATCATTAAATAATTAGTTTAGAAATTTGGAGTCAAATATTTTAATTTATGTTTATTACTTGATTTGAAGGTCAAAGATTTCAGGGCCGTATTGCAAATTTTAAAACTAAAATCTCAATCCCCAACTAGGCACTACAGTTGTACGCTACTTCCTCAAAATAATTTCCAAGTCGTCCTCTGTTCCATGGGTGTAACTAGTAGCAGGAGATCCCGCAGCGGCTTTATAGCAGTGAGGCATCGGCGGCGGTCACAGCAGCTTCATTGACGTCGAAGTCAAGGCGTCCCTCCTCCGGCATCAGAGTACAGCTACGGCGAAGCAATCGAGGCGGCGACAAAGCTCAGCGGCAGAACAGCAGCGGCTAAATGACATCCCGGAAGTAGAGCAACGTATAGAGCATAGGGGAAGTCTCCGGCCGGTGTTCCCAACTCCGGCGACTGGGAAACAGGGCAGAAGACAGAACAGAAAGAAAAGAACAGAACAGCGCAAATAAGAGGAGAAGAACCAAACCAGAAACAAGCCCAAATCTAAATCATCCTTCCAATTCAATTCATATAATCAGTCATCAAAATCGCAAATCCAACATCAATCGATTGAAAACATATTAACGAATACTATCAATTTTAACGGAAGAAACCACCACCCACCTCGAATCGGCGTAAAACTTCCAACGAAGGACTCCGGCGATGTTCCTCTTGTTTCCGTCTGAGTTGATCGACGAATTCCACTCTAGCGAACTCCGGCGTCTCTCCCGTCGGTTTGGTTCGTAGCTTGTGGGAATCGGAGAAGAAGACTAGTAGGTTATATAAAAAATACGGAGTCCTTCGGATTCCCGTCGGTTTAGTACGTTTCCTCCTTTAATTATTATTATTATTATTATTATTATTATTATTATTATTATTATTATTATTATTATTATTATTATTATTATTATTATTATCACAACACAATTATGGTAGTAGTTACAGGTTTGGGTTTTACTCTCCGTAATAAATTAGGGATGTATTCAATGATTATAATCCTTTTTATTTATTTATTGAATTGTAACGTCTGTTTTACTCACCACGCATTACCCGATTGTCCAAATTTAACAAATTATATATCGTTAGTCACCATTCTACGAGATCTACCCGAAAACCCAACTTTTAATTAAAATGGTTAACTTTACAAATAATTCATATTCTGGAGTCGATAAATAATATATTTATTCGTTATTAAAATAATGGCTAACTACTAAGCCGGTTTTCAGGGCGTTACATGGCCTTCCTACATTGATCATTTTGGAACTCCTGCTTGAATGTCTTAGGCTCAACTTTTGCATCAAGTGATGTAAGAAAACATTTGTATTTGTTAGGAAACCCCTCATAAGTAATGTACAACGAGATTGTGTACTTGCAATTCTCCCCGAAAAATGCATTGGCAACATGCGTAACATAATCTACAAGGTGCACATTCGGGTTCTTTTCACAATGTTCGCGCCCCAAAATTTCTTCTGTGGCCTGAGATGACGACAGTCGACCGCCATCCATGGTACGGTCCATAGGATCGACCGCCTGAAGCTCTGCCAAATCTTCTGCATTCTGCCTCGTCCGTGATCGAGCGTCATCAAGAGGATGGTCCTAGGCTTCGACCGCGTGGGACTCTTCTGAGATCTGCCTCGTTCGCGGTCGACCGTCCTCTGTGGGACGGTCTAGAGTCTCGACCGTCTGGGGTTCTTCCAAAAACTGCCTTTTACTTATCTTGGCAGCCCTATTAGTGCTATTAGATTGAAGGCAAGTGATTGTGAAGTCCTAACACACAAACTAGTATGATTGATGTTTGAGGTTCCAGACACTTCTCATATGCAACAAGAATCAGGATAATAAATTCAGCCATAATGGGGATATTTTTTTGTAAAGGATACTCATACTACCTAAGGTATTAATGAAGAAAAATACATCTATATGCAAAAACTTTTTGTGGGGTAGTACTCATGAATATAAAAGAGCTCCTTTAATTAAATGGGATGGAATCTGTCAGAGGTAGAATTATGGAGCATTGGGATCATAGTTTTAAAAATTGGACTGGACTGGACTGCCAGGTTCGGACCATGAACTGACGAACCAGTGGTCCAACCGGTCTGGTCCAACCCTTGAAACCGTAGCAAGCTTCAAACCAGTCTAAACCGGTGTGAATCGGTCGGTCGAACCATGGGGGTTTAAACCCAAGACCTCTTACACATTTGGTTGTGTTCCTAACCATCCAAGCAATGGTGCTTTTTGTTAGAAGTTCACTTAATCTTTTATAATATTTCATAATTAAAAAAAGATTGTATAAAAATTCCTTTTCAATTTTAAAAATATGATACTATATAGCTATGAGTCAAACACAAAATCATTGATATTATTGATACTATTACAAAATGCATATCATGCAAAGATTTCATTTGAGTGTTTTTTAATATTAAACAACTTATTTGAAAAAAATAAAATCAACTCTTCATTTATAAAACTTTTAATATTATTTTTTAACTTAGTAAAATAACTCAAGTATATTAATATAATTTTAGTCAAATGTTATAAATTACTTTTCTTTAGGTATTTATAAATGAGAATGTGTGTGTATATATATATATATATGTATGTATGTATGTATATATATATATACACATACATACATACATACATATATATATATATAATGGTTGAGATTAAAGAATGTGTATAACTGGAATAAGACCAACATCATGAGGCTGAACTGGGACATAGATGGTAAAAAGGATGTATTATGGTTAAAGTGGATCCACAATAGATACATCAAAGGAGTTTAGTTTTTGAGCTTTTTCCAACAATGGATTCTTATCACTACTGGAGAGAAACGATCAAAATCAGGGAGTTGTTCAGACCTATGCTTACTAGCAAAGAGTTCAGGGTAAAGGATGGATATGAATGGTTTCATGATAAAGGTACTAAGCCTAAACTGGAGGAATTGGTTTGGAACAAACTGATTCCTCCAAAGTTCCAGGTGGTGTTATGGATTGTCATGCCATGGAGATTACAAACTTAACAAAGATTTCTTATTATTGATATGAGTTGTGCATTTTTGAAGAAGAAAATGAAACTGATAAACATTTGTTCTGGTCTTGCCCTTTTGCACAGTGGATTTATCAGAAGGTATTTAGCAAGTTCAAACTTTTGTTTCATGCTACTTATTTGGAAGAAATGGAGGATGCTCTAGTGAAGATTAAACGGAAGGTGCAAAGAATTAAGGTCATTGCTATTTGGGCAGCTTGTGTGTACAACATTTGGAGAGCTATAAATAGACATTTACATCATAAGAGCTACACAGATATGGAAACCAATGAGTTTGCTTTCTCTTATATGTATTCTTTCTTTTTTTGAGAAGGTGAAGACTAACTAGTGAAGGTGAGTGATGTTGTGAAAGTTTGTTATATAAACTCTATGTTGTTTGAAAAAAAATTTGACTTTTGGTGCAAAAAAAACTAAAAGATATGGAGTAATAAAACTATAACAATGATTTTAACTTTAATTTGAGCGAGATCAATTTTTTTCAAATCAAATCAAGTATATTTAGATAAGATGTACTCAGATCCATTCAAATATTGTTTTTTAACAAAAGTACTCTTATTTTATTCACATTCACAAGAGATTAGTACAACAAACTACAATTACAATTTTAGCTTCTCACACTTCTCATATTGTATTGAACATGATGTAATTGTAGCTATTATTTCATTAACCTTGAATTCTTTTTATGTAATTTAGCATTCCTTGCCTTTTAAGTATTATAACAGGCATTTATCCAAGCAGCCATACCAATTCTCCTTGCACAAGCTGGTTTCTACCTCCATATATTCTCCCCCATCTCTTTCATGTTATCACCTCTGATTGCATAATTCATCCAATCGAACACTTTCTTCAGTATGTTGATGGTCACTCTACATTGACAAAAGAGGTGGTTTATGTTCTCCTCCTCTTCCTCACAAAATAGACAGTTGGTATCAATATCCATGAATCTCACCTCCATATATTCTCCCCATATAGATCGAAAAAGAAAAGAGACTTAAGGTGAGTTTAATTGATGAGAAAATATTTGCCTGAAAAAAATTTAAATTTAATTTTTTACATTTGGTTAGGGTTGTAAATGGATAATCGAAAATTTGATTATCGTCCGCATCCGTATTCATTTATACGGAAAATATCTGCATCCGTTAAAAGCGATTATTATCTGTATCCGATTAAGGATATCCAATTGGTAAACGGATACGGATTTGTTAATCTTACATCCGATCCGTTTATAATCCGCTCCGCATAGACATCCGTTTAATCAATCGTTTATCTGTATATCCGATCTGTTATTTATAATTTTACCTATTTTTTATTATTATATTTTGTTTTTTATTGACGTCTAAAAGTATAAGACATTTTTATATGCAAAATGTATGTGTGGACACAAAAAATATGTGTGTATGTGTATTGTGTATATCTTTTTATCATATGGAGTTGTCATAGAATATTACTATGAATTATAAAAAATAAGAAAAAATTACTCCGTAACAAATTACAATTGAATAAATAATGTGTTGGCTTTAATTTAATTGGAAATTAAAGTATTTTCAATTTAACTTAAAAAATGGAAACAGATATGGATATATCGGATATCCGACTGATATCCGACGGATGCGGATACAGTTTTGATTTTTTGTATCCGTCAAGATTCGTATCTGAATTCGATATCCGAAAAAAATAAACTGATGCGGATCTGGTAATGGCACATCCGATCCGATTAATATCCGTTACACCCTATTTTTGGTGTCATAATTTTTAAAAAAATATTTTTATATTGTTTCAAAACTTTTTTTATAAATTAATTTTAAATATTAATAATGGAAAATGATTATTTTGAAAAAGAAATTCTTCCCAAACAAATGTGATAAGAAAAATAATTTTGGGAGGGACCTTGAATTGAAAACGTTGCATAGTGATTAGTGAAGCACGCAAGAAGTTCAAACCCTTTGCGCTTGGAAATGAAGAGCAAATGAGCAGTGCGGAAGCTTCATGCCTTTCGCTCTTGACCAACTGCAAGACTCTGAAATGCGTCAAACAATTCCACGCCTACCTTTGCAAGATCGGTCTCGAATCCGACCAATTCATCTCCGGGAAGCTCCTCATTCAGTGCGCCGTAAATATAGCCGACGCACTCGCCTACGCTCGCCGCCTCTTCCACGGCCTCCCGGCCCCAGACGCCTTCATGTACAACACACTCATACGCGGATTTGCCGAGTCGGACTCACCTCAGGATTCCCTCAAGACTTTTGTAAGCATGCTTCGGAGCTCGCAGTCCCCTCCGGATAGCTTCTCTTTCGCTTTCACGCTCAAGGCTGCAGCGAATATGAGGTGTTTTAAGAGTGGGTCTCAGATGCATTGTCAATCCTTCTCTCGTGGCCTCAGTTCCCATCTCTTTGTTGGGACGACCACGATCAGCATGTATGCCGAGTGTGGGCACATTGGATATGCAAGGAATCTGTTTGACGAAATGTCTGAACCAAATGTTGTTGCCTGGAATGCCATGCTTACTGCTTATTTTCGGGTTGGAGATTTGAGGAGTGTTGATGGAATGTTCTGTTTGATGCCTTCAAGGGACTTGACTTCTTGGAATTTGATGCTTGCTGGGTATTCCAGAGCAGGAGAAATGGATTATGCCCAGAAGATCTTCGACCAAATGCCAACAAGGGACATTGTTTCTTGGAGCACTATGATTCATGGGTTTGCGTGTAATGGGTATTTTGATGAGGCATTATGGTGTTTTAGGGAGTTGAGGAGGGAAGGAACTGCTCCCAATGAGGTGAGCCTGACAGGGGTTCTGTCTGCATGTGCTCAATCTGGGGAGTTCGAATTTGCAAAATCCCTCCATGGATTTGTAGAGAAAGTTGGGATGGCGTGGATTATCTCGGTGAATAATGCACTTTTGGATTGTTATGCGAGGTCTGGGAACCTGGGTATTGCTCGCTTAGTCTTTGAAAGGATTCCAGGGAAGAAGAGTATCATTTCTTGGATTTGTATGATTACTGGGCTAGTAATGCAAGGCTATGGTGACGAGGCAATGCAAGTTTTTTGCGATATGGAATCTTCTGGAAATAGACCGAATCGAGCAGGATTTACTTCAATTCTTTGTGCATGTAGCCATTCTGGTTTACTCAAAGAAGGACAACATATTTACGATACAATGGCAAGAGTATATGGCATCGAACCCAATATCGAGCATTATGGTTGTATGGTTGATCTTTACAGTAGGGCGGGACAACTGAAAATGGCATATGATTTTGTCATACAAATGCCGATCCCCCCAAACGCAATCATTTGGCGGACTCTTTTGGGTGCTTGCAGCTCCTATGGTGAAGTTCAATTAGCTGAGCTCGTGAATGAAAGGCTCTTGGAGATGGATCCCAACAACTCTAGCGATCATGTTTTATTATCAAATGTTTATGCAGCTGCTGGGGAATGGCAGGGTGCTGCAACAGTAAGGAGATCAATGAGCAACCAAAAAATGATGAAAACCCCGGGTCTAAGCATAGTTTGAACATACATTTTGTACTTAAGGTTATAAGAGACACGTGATGCTTCTGTGTGGAGGACATGAACAGAAAGTTTTTCCTTTCCTCACTAAGGGCCTGTTTGGGAAAGGCATTTTGGGTTGGGAACGCTAAACCTTGTTAACTGGGCGTTTGTTTTGCATTAAAAGGGGAGCTGCATTTTTTATTATCTCCTTTGCCTATTTTTTCGCGCAGCTTAACGCAAGACGCTCCCTAGGACTAGCATTCTACGAAGAAAGTTGGCATTTTGTAGAAATTTTCGAATTCTATCCATCAATATTTTACCGGGAAAGTATTTTTTGCGCGCCCAGAAGCAACAATTTTCTCTGAAAAATTAGGTTATTCATGGAGGAATTTGATCAAGTAAGAAATTCAATTCATTTTATTTTTTCGAAATTAATTTGCAGTTATATTACTTTTCTTCCATTATAATCCATCTAGTCGCACATTCTATGGACTTTGATTCAATCGGATTGATTTGATATTGCATCAGATTTAATTGTCATGCGTTGCTTCACCCTGTTTAGGTTCTTTAGATCTAATTCTCAATTAATCTTTTTTTACATGAATTCTTAATCTGCTTCACCCTCTACATATAGCTTTGGTTTTTCTAATAATGAAAAATTAAACTTACTTTAATTTTTTGTATATAGTATAAGGACATGAACTAGAAACAAATTGAAAGACAAAGAACACACAGTATGTTAAACTACCAAAGAAGACTGCCTAAGCTTCTTATTCATTTGTAATGATTAGCTTCAGCGCTGTTTTTTTCTTATTCTATGAGCTACAGTTCTCTACTTAGTACTTTCTGATCCCCCCAAGGTCAATATACATATATCCCTATTTCTTGAGACTTTTAATGCCACCTTTCATTGGTTTTTGTTGCCTATCTTCACCGCCATTTTATTAGCTGCAGGTGCTTAATGATGCTGTATCATGTTATTTTTTCAAATCCATACTGCAGTAGCAATGTTTGAATGCAGTGCAAGAACAAAGAATCAGTGTTGGATAAATCAAGCCAAAATAAGCTGTTAAAATAGATAAACCAGGAACTTGCTTTTTTGGAAGAATATATATAGCATAAGAAATTTGTGTGATGTAGTTTTAGACATTTTACATATGGGGTCTTTTTCTTGTCAATCCTAAGAGGCACATCCTACAACCCTCCTAACCCTCTTTTTTTCTTTCCCCCCTTTTTTGCATTAAAATTAAATTTTGCTTTCATATTTGTGTATATAAATGTGGGGATTCAATGATTATTCTTAAATACCAAATTTTTCTTTGGTTACTTTGCAGAAACAGATTTCCTACTAAGGAGAGGTTATGTAAATGCATGCCTATTGAGTTACACTGTGTGCTTTGTGGATATATTATGGAAGACTCTCAACACCTGTTCTCCAGTGTATACATGCCACAGCCATTCATAGAAATTTGTCAAATTAGATGGGGCTAAATTTCACCGTTGGTCCTTCAAGTTATTGCGTCATGCATAATTAGTCCTTCAACTTTGAAAATTCCACGAATAGTCTTTCAAGTCATGTTATCGTTTGCATGGTCAGTCCTTCAACTTTGAAAATTTCACGAATAGTCCTTCAAGTCACGTTAGCGTTGCATGGTTGGTCCTTCCGTTAATTTTGCCGTTAGTCAATGCATTTTTTATTTTCCATTATAAATACATGTGAAGAATCCTTTCTTCTTCATATAATTGAACCATATTTAATAAATGTCAATTTTTAATAATAATAGTTACTCTTACTTTTATTACTCAAATTTTTTGAATAAAATAAGTTAGTTTTGCTTTTATTAGTTTAATTCAAAAAAACATTTACTCCGCCCTAAAGTATTTATCAAATTTTGACTTTTTACAGTCAACCAGGTCGAACTTTTTTACAAATAATTCAATTAAAATGAATCTACAAAAAGTATGACTCAATTGCGTGAAAAAGAGAAGGTTTCTCACGTGTACTTATAATAGAAAATGAAAAAAAATGCATGGTGTAACGACAAAATTAACGGAAAAACCTAATATGCAATGCTAATGTGACTTGAAGGACTATTCGTAGAATTTTTAAAGTTGAAGGACTAACTGTGCGTAACCCAATAACTTGAAGGACCAATGATGGAATTTAGCCAATTGGATGGGGATGAATGTTACTTTTAGTTCACTAATGGACTTGAACTTACTGCAACAGATTAAGCCAAGAAGGACCAGACAGAATTGTAAAGCTATATTTGCAGCAGGGCTCTATGGTGTCTAGAAGGCTAGAAATAAGCTGATACATCAAAGAGGTTGATTACTATATTGAAGATATGTGTTCTTGGCTTAAATGTCAAGTTAGTACCTATATCACGTATAGGATTACTAGAAAGTCTCATACTCCATCCATTCCCAATTTGATTGCAATTTTTTTCTCTTATCTCGATAACTTTTGATAAAATAAAATATTCTTGTCACCTCTTGTTTTGTAGAACTTTTGACGTAGTTTTTTAATATGTAATTTTTATTTTTTTATCGATATACCAATTTATAAATAAAATGATTTTAAAAGTGAGATATTTCTCCTCGTAACCCCAATTTGATTACAAATTGGGGACGGAGGGAGTATGTAGTTTGCAGGCAGTGTTTGTAGACTGTGTTGGAGCATGAACTGATGTAAATCTCCTTTTGGTTTCAATATATGCACTTTTGGTTTAAAAAACACTGATAGATAAATAAAGCATTCAAGCTAGCTCACTACTTCACACAGATTCAAGAATTGTTCTTTGATTTATTTCTTTCTTTTTCCCTCCTCTCTAGTAGTCATGGGAGAGGCACCAATGAATCAGAAATGATTGATGTTTCTCCAATCCCCTAAATAATATAAGCCCCAAAAGGGGTTAACTTCGATGTTTTTCCGTTTATTTTCTAACACTTTTACTATTCACCGTTTGTTTCTCTTTCTAATTAAGCAGCATATCTCCGTCTCTCACTACTTCTCGCGAACGATGAATGCCATTGGCCATTCTCGCCGCCTGCTGCCCCACGATGTGAGCTTCTTCACTGCTGAGCTCTCCCATCTTTTTTCTCCTTCACTTTGGTATTCGGATACGACTTTCTTCCTTCACTTTGCAGGTATTTCGCTGTTTCTTTATAGATCTTCATAACTCCGCATATTCTTCTTTAATTTCAATTTTTGATACTTCAAATTCACAGCTACTTCAAATTGCATCACTAGATTTCAAGGGTTCGATCTATTCTCTGTTGCCCATCTGATTGACAAGTAGAATTTTAAAACTGTTTTGGCATCTTTATTTGTAAATTTGTTCTGACTCTTGAGTTCATTGATAGTCAAATGCACAGTGACCGTACTCTTTGGCAAAAAGAGATTTTACCATTCGAGCATATCCGCATTTTTGGTTATTTTATAGTAGCTACGATATCTTCCCGGCTCCTACTTTAGTTAAGTACCGGACTCAATATTATTGTTATAGAATAATGCCAAATTTTTTAATTCCGTAAATTTGGTTTCTTAGAATTTGTTGAAGGAAAACTTTTATTTTTTAGTTTTAGACGAAGAGAGTCAAGAGATAAGAGAATTAAGTTTAGCCACCACAAATAACAATCCAATCCATAATGTTATCCTAGAAAAAAGACATTTTTTTACTTGACCAGCCCTCAGGCGAAGCAAATACAACAGGTACACCAATCAATAAGATAAATGAAGTAACAATTAATACAAAAACAACCAATTGGAAAGCAAGAGCCATAGGTTTCATTCTCAATTCTACCACCAAGTAAGCTATACCATTTGATCTCCCTAATCGGAGAAAAAGAATCAACCACATCATTCCAACTTCAAGAGAATGACTGCTAATAATTTCTTTGAAAAGTAGCTAATGGCGAGATGGCCGAGCGATTCATAGCCCCGGTCTTAAAAACCAGTATAGCTTAAAGAACTATCGAGGGTTTGAATCCCTCTCTCTCCTTATGGTTGATCATTGAATAGACATGGTTCGTTGAAGAGCATTCGATCTGATCTTACCTGCATATAAAGGTACAAAGGATAGCTGGGAAGACGAAGCGAGAGAGTGAAAGAGCATCAGTTATTTGATAGGAAATCTATCTTTTTGGGAAGCAGGCGCTATGAAAGGAGATGGGATGTTATAGAGAATATAGTAAGCTTATGTGCAGGTAAGTGAAATACCTGGTTGTCGAGTCATTCAGCGAATGTATGATTCCTAGAAGACGACTGGATACTCCTATAGTCCTATCCCAAAGGCTTCCACAAAGATGAACCCAATCCTGATTTTGCTGCGTAGGATTCTTCCGTGGGGTGGATTTATGTTTGAATCGTATCGTATGAAAGTATAAAATGTAAAATTGCTTTTATGATGGAAATAAAAGTTTAGTTTCAACTTTTGGCTACGTCGGATAGCCAAACCATAAAAAAAGAAATTAAATATTGAATTTTATAGATAGTCCAACTTGAATAATTTGATTTCGTATCTGTTCTCAATTGAGAGGGGTCATAGAAAGAACTGGTTTGAAATTCCGATCAATTCCTTTCTCAAATCCAGCTGTTGCCGCCCGAGCATGTCCCACGTGCCACAAATGACCAACAAAAAGAAAAATCAGGACAAAATGTGAGGTTGCCAACCAACTTCTTAGAGAGACATAATTGACTGTATTTATTTCAGTAGCCACGCCTCCGACAGAATTTAAAGAACCTAAAGGGGCATGAGTCATATATTCTGTGGTATGCCGTTCCTGCCAAGGTTGTATATCTTTTTTAACCAAATAAGTTCTAACCCATTTGGTCCCCTTAGAGGCTCTAACCACGGAGTAGGCAGATCCCAAAAGCGCATAGTTTTTCCGCCAAAAATGACTTTGCCAGTTGGGGGACGCATTAGATATTTACCTAAATCCGTAGGACCTTGAGCGGCCCCCATGTTTGCTTCAAGACGTTGGTCTCTAACTAGAAAGGTAAAGGCTTGAGCTTGAGAAGCTTTTGATCCCGTGGGTCCGTAAAACTCACTAGGATAAGTACAATGAGTACTCAGCAAGTACTCAACGTTGGAGCAAGTACTCAACGAGTACTCAACCCTCCAAGCTTCAGTGAGTACTCAATGCAAGGCCAAGAATAGACACATACAAATTCATCATGGGAAAAAATTCATCATGGTGAAAGGCATATTTCTTTTCTTCCGATTCCTCCTAGCGACTCTATATGCTCTTTTGACCTCATTGGTTATGATTTACCACTGCACTCTTCTTTTTAGTGTGTTTACTAATTTATGAACACTTGACCTTCACGACTTTTCCCAAAAATTACGGTTTTCTTTAGAGTATACATTTCATTTTAATTTCCATAGCAGAAACTATTTTGATTTCTTCGAGCCAGGTTAACCTGCAAACTAGTTTTTTTAAAGAACATTCAAATCTTATCTACATGTTCTTTAACGTACACCAAACGAATCCAGGAAAGTAGAAACACATGACCAAACCACTAAAGTCTTGTGATCTGCAATTACATGCTCCTGTTCTGTTGAGTACCATCGTGAAGCTCTACTTGCTTGAACTGATATGCCCCTTCTCCAAAATGTTTTCAACCAAAGGATTAAAAGTTTGTTGAAAAGAATGGACTAAAAATTTTCTGTGAAGTGGATACTACTTTAACTACACTTTATAAAGGGCAATTTCACCTTGAAGTATCCATTTATGCTCTTCAAACACACCTTAATTGCCCAACTTGTTCACTTTATCAACACAACATCCCTCATTTTGAATCTGAATTTTCTCAAAATCAGCCCCTTATCCAAAGTGATTTGAACCAAAGGATTAAAAAAGTATCCATCTCCAAAGGATTAAAAAAGTATCCATCTCCAAAGGATTAAAAAATTATCCATTCATGCTCAAACTAACATCACTTTGAGACCCTTTATGAAAGTAAGTGTGAAAAAAAATTAAACACAAGAACAAAAGTTTTAAAATCAGTAGAAGGCCTCTTTTTCCTTGCTTTTATTTTATGCCTAAAAGCCTTCATATACTCTTACCTATTTTAAACTCTTTGTTTCTTTGCTTTCCATTCTACGTATCACCAAGCACTCAAAAAAATTCCTAAACCTGAAAACAGAACACACAAAAAGCTCAAAATGCCTAAAATAAAGACCAATCTCAGACTTATTTTTTAAAGAGAAAAAAACATTTTCCAATTACATCATTACCTACTTCCATTAATCTTCCACACCCAATTGATAATGTTCCCCTCATGCAGGTGCAAACCCATCACTTTGACAATGTGGCACAAATTCACAAGCGTTCAGGGCAGCAAAATTGAAAAGGCACTCGAATCAGGTAACAATCCAACAATACTCGCAATGAGGTTACTGGCAACTTCATTCCTAAACATGTCATTCGTTATGTAAGTAAATACTCCTTGTAATTACATGATTCACATCTCATTCTCTATTACATACACAGATAAATAGGACTGTCATTGACAACACGACACGATTCATCAATCAAAGCGGACGCAATCATATCCCTTTCATCATATTTAGAAGAATGGTAATCATATTTCCCTCATCTTACCACTTATTAGTTATTACTTTTTTTAGTACTTTTATAAACTAACAAATGCCATCCAGGGAATGTTCAAATCCTGTCGCAATAGAGCATGCCCTGGAAACAAAACAATTTCAAGATCCTTTATCTCTTTTTGTAAGTCCAGAAGACATTCAAGCATCTCGGAACTCACAGAGACAGAAAATCAGGTTCTATATACATTTCTTCAATTGTCATATGAACCTAAAATGTATAATACCTAAAATGTACATATACAAACATATAAAACAAACACACAGGAACACATGTACTGGGTTGAAGGTGAAATACAAGTCCTAGAAAATGCATCGTTTACATTGTACATAGGATGCAGCAGCTGCAATCGGATAGTGCACTTCAGAGAAGGCATTAGCTTTGAATGCATGCAATGTGGGGACAAAGAAGCAAGAAATACAAAGAGTTAAACATTCTAATTCTGTATTATTCCAAAGCAATACTATTCTGCAATCTTTAATCTCACTTTATATAAGCACCGGATAACTACTTCAATTCTGTAAAGTCTCAAATTAATACCCTTCTACATTTTTTATCTTACTTTATGTAAACACTTTCTTGCTGCAAAATTTGCCAGATTCCGACTACTAGCTGAAATAAATGACGACAGAGGTGATGTACAGCTCACCCTTTTCACCAACGAGCTCCAAAAAATACTAAAGACACTGGAATGGAATATGTCGCTGGAGACAATCAATTGTGGGAATCTGAACAAGGCCCTTCAATCGCTCACCGTCATTGTTGTGATCAAACCAACTTCAAGAACTTACCAAACACAAACAACAAAGATGTACTCACTACTAAGCCTCTACAACCTCTCTCAAAAGCTAACAAGCACTCCAACTTTAAAATGAAAGCTCAAGGTTGAAGAAGACAACCACAAAAAAAAGCCTTAAAGAATGTTCCAACACCTTGGAAACTTCCTACCCTTCTTGTAAAATACATGTATCATGATGAGTAGAAATCGTGATGGAATAAGCACTTTAAAATTTCTAGGTTTGCTACATGTAAAAAAACCTAATCAACTAAGAGATCAGTTTAGAACTTATAGGTTTGCTACATATCAGAAATGAAGTGCAGTGGAACACTTCATGTTTTGTAAAACAATCCCTATGCTTCTCATAAGATACTATGCCTATGTTATATTACAAAATTTTACTAAACTATCCAAAAAGTTTGGGCACACACACACACAAAGTATTAGTGTGTCCCATGCTAAGTGCCCAAAATATTAGAGTAATTTACGAATTATGAATTGATTAAAAAACTATTCTGACATCTGAATCATTTTTTTTATTAACCATCTGTGAGCATTCAAGTGATTTGAATCTGTGATTAGAAAAGAGAATGAATGAAATTATGCTTAGAGAATAGTTTTATTAAGTTGTAGTTACAATTCTTCATTTTTATTAACTATTTGAATCATTTTTCATTTTGAATTATAAAATCAAATTATGAATTATGAATTGTAATAAAACCAATTCTGCATTTTTATGAATTAGAAATTTTTTTAGAGTAATTTTTGAATTATGAATTGACACTGCATGTTAATCTTGCTTTGAAAAATGGAAAACACTGCATTTTTAAATGAAGAAATAGTGTTCTTCATTGGAATTCCTTTAAAAAAAGAATATATGGTTTTCCTCTTTAACATGGGGAAAGATGCTACTAACTAGCACTGGTTTGTGAATAGTGCACTTCTTTCAATTATAGCTTTAGAATGATTAACTAATTCTAGTTTTTAATACTTGATACAGGTGACTTACATACTTTTCGTGTTCTATTCAACTCGCTTGGTATGTTTATGCACTTTTAAGCTATGCTTCTCGTGATTTTTTTTTGAAAAAAGTATTTGTGCTCTTGGAATGTTCTTTCCTTTTTTTTTGCAATGCTTGCTCCTTAATTGGTTCACCATTCTTGAAATTTAGTCAAAGCATTTATGTATGTACTTTCGTATGTTGAACTATGTCCTGTATTTCTAAATACAAAATGGTTTTTTTCATTCCAATCTTGCTTTAAAGAATTGGAAAACACTGCATTTTTCAAAGAAATAGTGCTCTTCATTGAAATCTAAATTTTGAGTTGTTTTAAAACCTGATTTCAATTCAAAGTATTTATCTATGTTGAGCTAAATGCTGATTTTTAAAATTAAAAAAAGTGCTTTATTCATTGCATTTTAGCTTTTGAATTTTATGGCAATTTTGATATGTATACATATTTGGATCGTGATACAATTTTGATCCTTCTTTCTTACTACACTGTCAAATTGGTCTTCAGAGTTGAGTCCTCTTTTAAAAGTTGAAGTGCATATCTCTTGTTATATTTTAACTTTGAACCTTCTTTCTTTCTACACTGTCAAATTAGTCTTCGGAATTGAGTCCTCTTTTAAAAGTTGAAGTGCATATCTCTTGTTATATTTTAAGTAACCCATGATTTTGTCCAAAAACTTTGCTAGAGAAAGTATAGAAAACTATTAGCACTCATTATGGGTGAATACTTTTAGTCATATTTTATTCTTTTATCTTTCTTTAAAGAGTTGATAGGTAAACTGATGGAGGCATAGTACTGAGAACACCTTTTCTCCCTTTGCTTGGTAGCTAGCTACCATTAGTTTTCTTTCACAGTCAGTCGATCAAAGGTGAAAAGAATACGTTCAAGAATGCTGGTGTTATCATCCGGCTTTAGATGTGTTTGTAAATGGGAAGTTTAGAAAGAGAATGAAGAATGAAAACCGCATAAGTTTTCCTTTCAAAAGAAAAGAGGGAAATAACAAAAGTAGGAAGATTAACAGGGAGGATTACTCAAACGTTCCAATTTCATACTTAATTTACTCGTATTAAGGCTTGAAAAATATTGCTTCATGCTCACCTGTTTGTTCTGCATTTTTAAATAAATAAATAATTTACTACATTCTATTCTAGATTTAGAAGTTTTTGCCAATTTTATTGCCCTTTCATCAAATGCAACCCTGTGATTACTCATTGGTTCATTTATAAGTCGTTAAAGATTCAAAGGAAACCGGATCTCCATCTACTCAACCAACAATTGAGAGTAATCGGTGTGAACAAATAAACTTTTGTCTTCACGAAAAGAGAACAACAAAGAACAAGTGACTTCATAATCATAGACCAAGAGTATGTCCCAACCCTACTCCTATCCTGTTAGCTTCTGTATTTTTTGGCATAGAAAGTAATGTGCTTTTTGAATAGAAAGTAACCTATTTCTTTACTAAAGAATGAGCTGGACAAGAAAAGTATTCTTAGATCTCCGAATAAATTTTTTTCACTGTCAAATCTCTATATAATATTTGCTTCACATTAGGGGATACTTGTACGTAGTTTCAAAGATTGAGTGTGGCCTAAATGCAATTTCAGGTTACTATAGTTTAACTCATTTCTCTTTTCTTTTTTATACTATGCAAATCTGCGATGGACACTTAGGATTTATTCTGCAAACTTTATTATATCTTTGTCTATATTACTATGCTTTAACTCATTTCTCCTTTTTTACGTGTCTATATCTCTAGACGAATATGTATTTATTTGGTGCCCTCCTTTTACCTGTCAAGATGATAATCCTTTATTTATTCTATGTTCAGTTGCCTAACTCTCCTTTTACCTGTCAAGATGATAACCCTTCATTTGGGAACTAAAATTAAATTAATTTTTACTAGGCAATAATTGAGTTAGACCTTAATTAGGAATGACCACAAATGAAACTAAGAGAAGATTTCTCTATACATAGAGGGCATGAACATAATCCTTATCTCTACCCCTATCGGTAGAGACTGTTCTAGAACTCTAGAAGAGCCTCAACCAACACACTACCCACACCATTACCAAAACACTGATCCCTTAGAAACACCTAACAACCTAATATGACATTTGATTGGTTGGTTTGACTGATTGGATGAGTTGGCTGATTATTAAAACATATTTGGTAAAAACTAGATGTTTACAATTAGTTATTTTGAGATTTTAAAATTACACACACACACACATACTTAACAATAATTTCAAAAATGTTGGGAATAACATTAAGGTGTATAACATATTTAGAGTTGATCAACATGGTTGATATATTCCAAATTCATAATAAGGTAATCTAATGAATGACATGATTTTTGCATGTATGGACTTTGATATCAAATTTCATACATATCCAATGCCCATGTCAGCATGATGGTTTTTTAGTTTGAATTGTATACACATGTATATTAAGAAGACAATGTATAAAATTAGAGTATTAGAGTGAATAATGTGAGCATAATGTAGTCTCAAATTTTACATCTTTTTTTAATTCCAACAATGAATTGAAGTAGTGTGTATTTAGTTGTTTTGTGGAAGATTAAAAGTTTTGAAATAATCATTGTTGTTCAACCATACTGGAATTTTTGGATGGAAAGATATTGCATTCAAAAATTGAGGAACTAAATTAAAATTACCTGAAGAATGTTGTTTGAATTGTTTTGTAATTAGCAATAGAATGGTCTACCAAATTCTTGAGTTGTACCTAATAAATTGAAAAAATACCTACATGATTGTTATGCCATATATACATATACATTTTATTAAAAATTGATAATGAAAAATTTCACATACCTCAGATAACAAAAGAACTTTAAAAGCATTTAATCAATATCACTTATAAAGTAATTAATAGCAATTTGGAAACATAAATGTGACATGAATTCTCAAGGAAACATGCTAGTAACGGTGTAATGGCAAAGTTGGAAATAAAAAATAGTGAACAACATCCAAAGCATAGGGTACAACTCTTTTGAATGGAAAAGGTGCATAAAATTAATGGGTACCTAACTCTCTTTCTCGTTTATAATATATATATATATATATATATATATATATATATATATATATAATATAATATATATATATATATATATATATATATATAATATATATATATATATATATATATATATATATATATATATATATAAGATATATATATCTTCAAAAATATGAAATTTATTTGGAAGTGAAGAAATATCTTATTAATTACTTAGGGCCAATTTGGTGAATTTTGGAGATATGATAAGATGTGAGTTTTAAAATCTCGAATAAATGATATGAATTTTGTAATCTTAAATTATTTTATTTGAAGATATTTTAATTCAAGATTTAATTAGAGATAAGCAGGGGTGACTGGCAACAGGAGTGGTTGGAAGTGACAATGGTAGCTAGTGGCAGAGAAATTGTCCACGTACCCATGTTCTTTGATATCTTGTCTTTGAAAGATTCGCTTTAGAAATTGATTTTCTTGTGTAAAAATCATTTTTTGGCTCTGCCTCACAATAGTTTGAAACTAGCGACAGAAAATTGATTTTCTGTCTTTAGAGAAATCGATTTGTTATTCCTGTGATGCACACCGAAGTCCTTTTCGTTGGTGTAATGGACATATTCTTTTTTTCCCTATATAAACCCCCATCTACCTTCATTCTAAGGCATCCCGGGCATTCTTATTTCATCTTTCATCTCTACATCTCGTGCTCTATCAATATTCTCCAAAAACCATACTTTTGATAGTATAGTAAATATTTTCTTGAGTGCAAATACTTTGTCATTCATTAGAGCTTACATCTTTAAACACATACTTGTTCTTTGTATGAGTTATACATCTTGTATTGTTCTTGTGTTCTTGCAAACTTGAAGATTCATCTTTAAGTTTCTGTTAGCTAAGACTTGTGTGATTCAAGTCTTCTTCTAAAGTGTTGAGGCTTATGAGATTCAAGTTCTCAAATTCTAAAATATTTTTCAAGCACTCGTTAAAGCTTGAAAGTTAGTAGGACCTTTGAGAGAGTCTCTCGGAGGACTGGATTAGCCACGAGCTGGGGAATTAGTATACCTCGCGGTGTTCTTCCTCTCTAGTCTTTACTTTTATCCTGGGTTTAATTTTTGTTTTATCACACACGCAAAAAATGCTCATTCTAGACTTCAGCTATATTCACCCACTTTAGAGTTGTGCAATTTGACGAACAACAAGGGTCCATTTTTCCGGTGACGTCCCTGACCCTTGAATTCTCGAGACCAGCTTTGAGTAAAGGTCTTTAGCAGTAATATATATAGTACCACCAGATGTACGATATTTCCTATGCACTCCCAACGAGTATTCATTCATGAATAGTTGAATACATATTCTTTATTTTATTGTCCATCTATTTTTTTATATTAGTTAAAATGAGTATTGTGTTATTTATAGATCTAAATTCCATATAAACATAATAAGTTGTGTTTAAATGAGCATACACATACTTTGAATAAATATTAAAATAAATTACCCCCTCCATCCCAAAATAAAGATTATGTTCAGTTTATGATGTTTGACTGAAGTTATTTTCAAATCAACATAAATAAAATTTGATGTAAAATTTAAAAATAAAAATTATATATTAAAAAACTACATCAAAAGTTCTACAAAATATCAAAAGTGGCAAAAATAATATTTTGTTTTATCAAATGATCTATAAAAATGTATAAAAAATAGAATTAATTTGACATATAAATAGCAAGGATTTTTTTGGGAGACAGACAACGGAGGGACTAATATACTCCCTCCGTCCCAAGTTGTTTGCCACATTTTGAACAAGGTGCAAAATATTATCAACAAAAATAAAATTCATACTTTCTCTCCTACCCGAACCGACGGGGTTTTTTCATCCCATTGCCTCTCCTCCTATCGACATCAACTTTCTTCCTCGATCGACGGAGCACCTCTCCTTTGTCGTCGTCGGTGCGCCTTTCCTTCACTGGTATTCGATCATACTAATTTACAGAGCACCCTTCAATTTTCGTCGCCCTCCTTCACCCTTCGATTTTGTCGATACAACTCTTCTTCCTCTTTTGTTTTACTGATTGTACCAGTTGTATAGTATAATTTGTGCCCAACAACTGGCCAACAAGGAAAACGGAAAGAAAAAGGGAGTATTCAAAAGGTACGTACGTGTAGAGGCTGTAGTCGTCCCGGAGTGGGAGCTTGGCCTCGAGAGCGACTGTTTCTGAAATGGGCGGAGGAGAGAACAACCGGGAGTGGGAATTTCACATGAGATCAATCGCTTCCGGCGCTCGAGACTCTAACGCCGCCGTCGATCTTTCACTTCTCAATTCCGTACGCCTTTACTTTTCTCTCCCAGCGTCTATGTTAGTGCGGGGTTGGTTCTCATTATTTATTGCTTGATCGTACGCAGGTCAAGAGGCTTTGTGAATTGTGCAAAAACGAAAAATCAGAAGAATCTATAGCTAGAATCTATCCTCATCTCAATCGGATCTTTCAACGAGCAGTGGCCTCAATTAGTCAATCCCAAACCTCATGTGGCCTTCTTCTACTGGTAATTTTTGCCCAACATTACTTTAGGGATGTCATGGAGTACTATAAGTTGAGAACCATAGTTTTATTTTGAAATTCAGGCCAAAGAGTTCGGTGACTAGCCAGTTTGTTTCCCGATAATAAGCTACTGCTTGTCCCCAATAGATTAATGGGGAAAATCACTTGGCAGCACCAAACAAGAACATTAAAGTCAATAAGTAGAGGCCACAAATTTTATGGAGAAACAACCTCAAAAACAACAAATTTAAGTTATTAATTTTGCAGCTCTTTCTTTGCACCAGCATAAAAAAGCTTCACGTGATAGAGAATGAAAGCTCCAATGAACTTCTCCTTCCCATAGTAGAAAAATGCCATAAATTTGAGCAGTTGAAGCACCAATCAAGAACATAAGTACTCAATAAGTACTTACAGAACACAACATTTATGGAGAAATACCATAAAAACTACAATATTATGCATTTAAGTTTTCATCTTTCTCTATGTACCTCCATGAAAATGCTTGGATGAAATAGGAAAGAGTTGAAAAAACCGGAAGGAGTTGGAGAAAACCGGAAGGAATTGGAAAAACCTAGGTGTTGAATGAAACTCGGAAAATGTTTGAAGGAGTTGGAATAAATACTATATTTGTTGAATTTTATATTTTTATTGAAATAACTTATAGTGTATACACTAATACACCCATTCTTCCACTGTTTTTGTTTCTTTTTACTTGTTTTTGTTCCATTATTTTTGTCTCATACCATATTCTTTTAACATGTATCACACCATATTTAGTAATATGTGTATGACTAACACTCACTCTTACTTTTTCTTATTGTTTAACAACAATATACACACCATGTTTCTATGTTTCTTAATTTGCATGTCAAGAACCTATGTCTAATTTAAAAATTTTCAATCTAATCTAAAAAAATATGTTTAATTTGAGCTTTTTTATATCCATACTATGGTGAATTGTATTTACCAATTTTTTTATTTTCTATTTTAAATTATGTTATTTCATCCGTCCCAACAATTAATTCTTGATCTTCCATTTATTTTGTTCGTATATTGATGTAAAATATAATTATATAAATTTTAAAACTATGTTCTTTTATTAAATTATCAATGAAAATATTTATTGAAAATAGATTTATTCTCTTTATGTACAATGAATTTGTTTTGGGGCACATAAGAAGGTTTTTTAATATAGATTGTGTCATTATAGTCAATTCGTTTCTTATTTTATTAGTAGTGATAAATAATGCCCCCTCTGCCCCGTAATTATTTTCCTACTTTTTGTTTGGATTGTCCAAAAATTTTCTTTCCTCTTTCCTTTTAAGAAAAAGTCGAGTAGTTCTTATCATTTTTCTTTCCTCTAACCAAACCACAACCACACAAATTTTACTTTATTAAGTATCGTGCCAAGTCAAGAGGAGAAGATAATTATTGGACAATAATAATTAAAATAATGTTAATAACAACAACGACAAAATAGTAGCGACAAAAATTATAATAATAATTAAAATTATCATCATCATAATAGAAAAGAATGAAGGAGTATCAAGGACTATGGCCATGTTTACTTCACCTCATCTGATTGCAATAAGATCTGCTGATCTGATTGTATTTATATTTAAAGCTATTTCTGATCTGATTTGATTTCAATAAGAATAAGTAATAAGTAAAAAAAATAAGTTGGGGAGAACATGACCTTTATTATGATAATAATAAAAATTATCATCATCATAATTTTGATATCTTAGTTGGAATGTATTGGAAGGAGTATGAAGGAGTTTGAAGATAATAAGAAACTGGAAGAAGTGGCAAGAAACTCGGAGTTGAAAGTTAAGAATCCCAATCTAAAAGAATAGAGTCTTCATATCAGAATATGAATTCTGAGTTTTCATGGTATAACTGCGCATTATTTTTTCTTGTACAAATAGATTTGTCCAATAATTTTTTCGTTATATTTAACTTTGATTAGGCAATTGTCCAATTCTTTCTTGATTTTGGAGATGCGGTTCTGCATGATGCTGATCCCAGTTTAAGGACTTTCTTTAGATCATGCCTAAGCCGGTGAGAATGCTCTGTTCCTTTGAAAGTTTATTCTAGACAAAGGCGATACATATGTTGCCTTAGTTATGAAATAAAGATGTTTATAGGAATACATTTTCCATTATAAATATTCTTATCATAATGTTTGTTAGTTCTCAAGTAATAGTTGAGACACATTTACTCTACATCAAACACTTTCTAGAAAGTAAGCCATTGCACGCGGAACACTTCTACATATGGTTGTAGATTTTTTTATCTTTGATTATTCCTTTCATCCGTCTAAGGGTTAGACACTTAAAAGTATTATAGTACCATCATCATTTAGCCCAACCATATTTTTCTTAGAACAAAAGGCCCTTTCTTATAATTTCTTACCTATTTCAGATTTTCAGTACATAATAGATTCATATCACATGCTGTTTTTTTGTTTTTGATATTTCTTCCCTAGCTAATAATGAATACAATGTCTATCTTTGTTCTAATTCTTTCCTATACATATTGTAGTGAATTTGCAGACCCTGCTGTAGCAGAAGCAACCCTATATTTTTTGGAAAAAAACAAGAGAAAGCTGTCAAGTGCTTTCCCTGCTTTACTCCCTCAGGTGAACATTTTTGAAAGGCGGTTCTCAGGTGTATGTCTTGAGTGAATATCTAAATAAAATAACAAATTATTTGGATATGATATTTATAATTAAGCGTTTCCTGTATATATGGCCCTTTAAATATGAACTGCATATATGAAATCAAGAAACCAATTTCTCTATTTGGGGAGCTTGGTTCAGACAGAGAGGAAAAGGAAATGCTAGAACTATTTTGCAACTTTAAGCAAAAGTTATGAGTGAGAAAGACCCTATGAAGAGGATGAATAGGTTCATGACTAGATTGGACGTAGTTTAAAAATGGCACACATACCAGCATGAACATGAGAATAGATAATTTCTAGGCTCTCTTCATAGGGAACCACGTACGTCATACACGAAGTAAAGAAACCAGTTCCCATATCTTGGGAGCTTGGTACAAACAAAGAGGAAAAAGAAAAGCTATAGTAAAAGCTAGCTACAATTTTACAACAAAAGCGAACTACGAAAAATGCACTCAACAATAATATATAGGGCAAATCAGGGCTTTGCTAACGAGAGTCCTAAGGGCTTCCAATAAGTAACATTCATTACCCAAAAAGTTATGGATTAAGATGAACTTTCATATGGAAGGGAAAAGTTTCTATTAATATGTAAGAAGGTGTTTGGTTGTAAAAAGCCTGCCCGCCTGGTGTTGGGTGCAGAGAAGTGATCACACATTAACATTGAGGTGATGCCTGATTCAAGAGGCGCGTTCCTCCTGCGCATCTGACCGGTGCAAGGTGCTGCGACTTCATCGCCTCTTCGACGTCGACCAAATGACACATTATTTTTCTAAGCAAACAAAAATTGAAACAAAGCCAAATCAGAAACCCCCCCCCCCCACCTTAGTGCCATAAGAGAGGATGAGGCAACTACTCTTGAGTCTTGACCAACGAAGTGATGGTCAATCCTCTCTACCTACGTAAAGGTCTCTGTCTCTCCTTCTCCAGTTCTCCACCCTTTTTCTCCTTCTCCCTTCTTATCGTACTTGTACTCTACTCCACATCTTTATTGGATGCCTTGTGCGGCATATTGCATTGTTCTTATGATAGAAGACATGCAGTGCTTGTGAATGGTTATATACATAATCATGTTTGTGTAGTGAATATGATCAGGAGGTTCACAAGTCAAAGAAACTTGCATAGGCCTGCCATTACCAGTCCACGTTTGTCATTTAACAATTCACAAGATTGGATTTCTAGCAAATGGGCAAAAGAAGAAACAAGAAGGAAAGTTGCTCCCATCTTATTACGGAGTACACGATACTTTAGGGAGTAACGTGCTTTATACTCTTAAGCCGAGTGACCCACTTGTGAAAGTGCTATGGATGGTTGATTGAAAAACAAAATCACCCATGGGGTGCATATACGAAGCCATGGATAAAGCGAAGGATGCCATTGCTAGATTGGAGAAAAAAGGAGCTATACAAGAAATCATTTGCGATCATTAACAATCGATAAGAATGGCAATGGCGTGAGGCGCACTAAAGCCTTTGGTAAAAAAATTAGAGGTGGAAGGCGCACATCACGTAGGCAAGGCACATATACCTGATTAAAGTCAAATATATGTCTTGTACATGATATCACGCGATAAACAAACACAACCGGATCATAATAAAGCAAAATTTCAAAGTTCAAGTCAACCAAAAACTCTTAGTTCAATTTTCAATTAATGAAGTATTAAAAATTCAGAGTTCAAGCTTAAAACTTCATTACAAAATAAGACCATCATAATCGGATATTGTATTGACTACTTTCGTCATTTTGACCAAGGACACGCATGACCGTATCTTCAACATTTGCCCCATTAGTTGTTCGTTCAAGGTCTCCATCATATTCAATCATGCCATTCTTGAACAGAGCATCTTTTTTGTGCTCATCTAGCATCACTCAAGTATCTTTCACCTCTTTTGAGGTAAGGCATTCTTAAATCATCTTTCTTGTCCGATTGATTGAAAATATGTTCAATTGATTGTGGCTTCAATCAAAGCTCAAGCAATGTTTGAAAAGGCATTCTGCCTTGTGCCCTATGCCACAGGGTGATGACTAGGTCTCTAGAAAATTATGTACATGGAAACAACTTCTCTACTTTCGAGTAGGGGTAAGAGTTTTTTATACACACCTGACACACCCTCTTAGACCCAACTTTGGTGGGATCTTATTGGGTTGTTGGCGGTGATTGTGAACGCCACAAGTTGATTCAGCCACAAGTTGTCGTTGACAATAACTAAGTTCGTTTTTTCTTCTTTTCATTATTTTATTAATGTAGTCCCGTATTTGTAAACTTTCATTCATTCTTTATTTTCATTATCTTATAAGTTTTACTCTACTAGTAAGTTTTACTCTAAAACTTACATCCACAAGTCCACAACCATTGTGTGTATTTAATTTGACACTCTCCATTTATGTATTTAGCTTCCATGTTTTTATCTTTCTATATTTTAAATACCTTTTAGAAATGGACGTTTTATCGGACAATGGTAAGACCGACTATGCTATACTAAGTGGAGAGTTGAGCGGTGAATAAAACTCACGTTCACCAACTTCATGTGGCAGAGATGAGGATGCTGTGATGGATGTGTGGGCAAATGAGGTTGGATATGACCATGAATGAGGTTATTCATGGAGTGGTGGGAGTGAGGATAGCTCCAGTAAGCTAGACTGAAGTGGGGAGGCCAGTGCAGAGATGCGAGAGGCTTACATAAGTGTACAGGAGTAAGGGTAGGTGTAGGGTAGGGGTAAACCTAGGAAGAATTGAAAGGAGGTGATTAGATTGGACATAAGACCTCTGGACCTTACCGAAGATATGACCTTAGATAGGAATGTTTGGAGATTTAGGACTAGAGTAGTTGGGCAGACTTCATGGCCTTAGTGGTAGACGGTAGTGTTTTGCGGGTGCATTTTTTGTTGTCTCTATGTGCTTTCTGTGCTTGGGTTTTAGTTGCTGCTTTCGGTTTGTGTGATTATTGTCTCTGTGCACTTTCTTTTCCCTTAGTTTGCTCTTTGCGCTTTGCTACTAATTTGTTCTTACACTGTTTGTGCTGTCGTGTGTACTTTGTTGGTTTACTGTGATTGTGCTTGAGTTGGGGTCTCTTGTAAACAACTTTCTACTTTCTAGTACGGGTAATGTCTGCACGCACACACCCCCCCAGACCCTCCTTTTTGTGGGATTTTAGTGGGCATGTTGTTTAATTAACTTTCATCCATGTTGTATTTGACAGTACACAGTTACACACAACCAATTTTAATTAATTATTTATTTATATATTTATTTATTTTTAGCTATCAATTTTCCATTTGAAATATTTTTGTGTTAACCAAACACACCTTGTAGCTTACGCCTCAAAATGCCTTGAGGATTACGACTTATGACAAAAAGCCTCAAACCCGTCTATGCCATTTTGAACATTCGGCCCATGTCTCGGATGCTTTTAAGCCGCATGCCATATATCTTTGTTCCGTAGACACCTTAAGGCATAATATCCTTACGCGCATTTTCCCCAATGGTCAATGCCTCAGAGTTGCACACTTTTTAAAGCCATGGGATTAATACTGATTAAGTGATTAGTAGTGGCGTTTACACATAGAGTTAGCCGGCCTCTTGAGTTGTTTCTCTAAGCAACACAGAAAGATAACCTGACCTGATTTCTTTTGAACCTTTCTCACACTATATTTGCAGAGAGCTTTCATCGTATGTTGTTTTGGGTGTCTAGTCTAGCTTTCACCGTGCACTGCCTGCACTTTGAGGCTTGAAATTGAGGCATCAAATTGAATCGAAGCTCTAGGTTCGATGTGATGATAGATGCTGAAGGAGGTTAAGGTTCAAATGGAAACAAAGATTGGAGATAGAGGAGATATATAATTTGAATGTCAGAAATGGGGTGGGTTAGATGACATGAGTAAGTGACAAAATTAATGGATGATAGATGGTGGAGTGGGTAAGGGTCTAAGGGAGTAAATAATGAGTTGTATTAGAATTCAAGTGTAGGGTAAAATGGGCAATTGGGACATTTGAATCATACTTAAAAAGGAAATTGTACAAATACTTTGGGATGGTCCAAAAAAAGTGGACAAAAATACTTGGACGGAGGGAGTGTAACATACTCCCTTCGTCCCCAAATACACTTTGTACTTTGAACAACGTGTAAAATCTCGTCACTTTTAGAATACTTTTATTTACAAATGGGTATAAAAATAAAAAGTACAAATTACATACTTCAAAACTACATCAAAAGTTCTACAAAACATGATGTGACAAGAATATATTATTTTATCAAATGATCAACGAAAACACACAATTAAACAAAAGTTATTGAGATGCCGTAATAGTAACTAGGAAGTTTATTTGGAGATGGAGGGAGTATGAGTTAATTAGTGTTCTAAAATATACTTCATATATTTCCTTTAATTTAATCATGAATTGCAGTTTTTCCCATTGCTTCTGAAGCTGCTAGCTTGGAATGGAGAGAAGTAAGCTCTTCTAATAGCAAAGTTTTGTGTATTTTGTGGTTATTTTTAGAGATAAGATGTAATTAACAAAATTAGTATCATGGAAGCAAGTCTATCCTTTCAGGTTGGAATCAATATTTCTTAGAGTATTTCCTGGGTTGATTTCCATCGGCTCATTTTTGTCGCTATTTCCACCACTTCTCGACTTGCCAAGTGAGTTCTAGATTCTATAGTTTTTTCGTTTTTATGTTTTCCACCTCTCCATAATTTCCTTTTTATTATCATTACTCCATTTTTATCTTCACACTAGTATTTTAACCCGTGCCTTGCACGGGGTGGTACAAAATTGTTTGTGATTCTACAATATGGAGCATTAAAATAACTTAGTTTTTTCTTAGACATATCATTTAAACATCAAATATAAATGATCTAGATTTATTGAATTTATACAAACCTATAATTTTTCTTCCCGTATAAATTAAAAAATACAAAAAAAACATTAGTGATTCTATGAATCTTTTTCCCACCATAATTTTTTTAAAAAAATATTGAATTTCCGATCTTATGATTCTACAATTAAAAAACATGATTTTTCCCCCCACATTAATTGAGATTAGCGAAAAACATAATTCTCCCGACCCTCGCGTTTAATACAGAAATTGATTCATCTTTACAGCATTATTTAAAAATAAAATCTTGGATTAGAATCCTATGACTCTATTATTAAAAATATTAATTTCAAAAAAATTAAAATACAAGAAGTCTTCTCCCCCGCATCAATTTTGAATAAAAAATATTAATAGAAAAAAGTAGTGGTACAATGATTCTGAAGGGAAATTGAGAAAGATTAAAATAGAAATAAAATATATGAAAATAACCAAAATAGAATATTTATGTTTTTATTTGCAAAATAAGAACCATAATGTCAATAAGACCAACATATAATACAAAAATTACAATAAAATGTCAATATACAGTGTTCCATTGTCACATTGTATTTCAATAGTACCATTTTGTAGATAAAAGCATGTGACTCTTATTTTTGTAATATTTTTACTTCTATTTTTGGTTTATTGACAATTTTTTTATTAATTTTATTATCTTTTGCTTCAAAATGCAAAATCATTCAAACCCGTAGTAGCATTCTGATCAATACAAAATATTTTAACAAAATATAAATACTTGCAAATTGGAAATTATATTTCTCTTTAATGTGCTTGTATCCAAGTTTTGATTTTATTCATTTTTGCACCTTGGATCTTCTCCGCACTTTTTCTTGCTTTATTGATTGTCTTTACACCTAGATCTTCATTGCCACAGATTTACATCTTGATCTTCCTTATCACAATTGTTTTTGCATACATCTGTGTCATCTCTCTCCATCTCATAGAACACTATCGTATGTAATTTCTATGTACAATTATGCAAATGAAAATGTAGGATGAAATGAGTCCTCTCTCATCCAATTTTTTAATCTTCATGCATAAATATAGTGAATAATTACACGATATAAATTTATTAATATTAAGTTACACCTTAGGAAAATGGTAAGTTACTTATTTGATTTAAATAATTGGCTATTTAAATAGTAGTCAAATCATCTCTTGTTTTATATAATTTTAAAATAGAGATTAAAATTTATTTTTTACATAAATGTTTAAATAAATAGAGTAAAAACTAACTTCATTTCGGCATATAATAAAAAATATGAAACTTATTCAAAGTATTATTATAAATGAAGTGAACAAAAAATATAATATTAAGAAAAATACTCTAATAAAAATGAAGATCTCAATTCCATATTTAAAATTTTTCAATGATAGTGAAATAGTAAGGAATGCTTGTGTAAACATAAGAACTCATATTGACACATTTGTTTCTAAATTGTATTCTATAATATAATTAAAATTTTCATATAAATATAAATAGTTAAAAATAATGTATTTTTCAAATTAAATCATAAATCGTTTAAGAATTATAAATCATAAATTATCTAGTAGTGAAATCATACCGTAAACGTAATAGAGTCGATCGAATGATTAAATTATATAGAGTATTATTTTTTCAAATTAACAATTTTATAGGTCAGTCATCTCTTATTTTATACTTTTTCTGTTCTAAAGTATATTTCCTATTCAAATGACGTACAAAATCTCATTAATTTTAATATGATCTTATTTACAAATTGGTATATAAAATAAAAAATATACATTTTCAAATATTATATCAAAAGTTCTATAAAATAAGAGGTGAGAGGTGACAAAAATGTTTTATTTTATCAAATGATCAATGAAAATATGCAAACTAACAAAACTTATCGAGACACTGCAATAATAAAAAGGTAAAGTATTTTTAGGCGGAGCGAGTAAAATTGTATAATAATTTTTAAAATATTTTTATTTTTAAATTTTACATCAATATTCAAATAATAAAAAACAAAACTAACTTCATTTAAACATCTCATAAACAAATATGAAATTTATTAAGAGGTGAAGAGAGTATCTTATTTATTATTTTAAAATTTTGTAATAAATCTGCGAAAAAACGGAGGAAGAAGCAATCCGCAAAGAAGAAATCTGCGAAGAAACGGAGGAAGATGGTGTGCTTCTCTGGATTTCTTTTTTTTCTTTCGGTGGTTTAGGTTTGCTCACAACTCAGCTTCCATTTACTACCTTTTACTTACCTATTTTTTTAATCATTTTTAAAAAAATAGTCAAACCACCTCTTGTTTAAGTTTTTAACACTTCCTCTTTTCTTAAGTAAAGTTCACTTTTACTATTCACCAGCACACTATATCTTTTTTCTTATTTATTTTAACCGTGTGTTACAATATAATAGTAAAGTCATCTCTTTGTTTAAATTTTTGATGTAATTCTTAAATAGGAAACTAGGACAAACACTACCAAGTACGGAGTATAAACGATTAGACAAAAACACTACAAACTATGAATTTGAGCAAAATATAATCAACTATCATCACTGTTGTCCAAAAACAATCTACATGTCGTTGGAGTACCACAATATACTGGGGTATTTATACAAATTCTTGTATTCTGATGTACTTTAGAAACATGTATTTTATTCTTACCCAACAAAGGTGTTACCGGCAACATGTTTATCATTCATACTAAGCATAGGCTATGATTATATTTTGACTAATTTTATAGTTAGTACTTAGTAGTATTTTTGTCTAATCACCCATACTTGATGTTTTATCTAATTTCCCTTATAAATATGTAACTTTTTAAATTTAACACAACTATTCAAATAAATTGAAGATTCCCTCTGTTTTTAGATAATCTTGCTTCTTTCCTTTTTTGGACATCCCAAAATAATCTTCACTTTCCTTAAAAGGAAAGAGTTATGTGGTAAAAAAATTTCTCTATCGTCTCATCAAATTCTAACAACTCCTTTTTCACTTTTCAACACTTTTCTTAAACTCCATGAAAATCAAACAAGGAAGTTTATTTAAAGACGGAGGGAGTAGAAAATAACTTTGGTCCAATACCGTTAACCAAAAACTAAAGTTTATTTAGGGACAGAGTGGACTTTTAAAACAACAACAAAATAGTATCATCCTAATTTCGTTGGAGTATGGGGGTCAAGATGTATGCAATCTGTAAGACCCAAGATGCATTGCTGCATGTTCTGTCCAAAACTTCACAGAAAGTCAGAAGCAAGATACACACAAGCTTATTCCTGTAAAAAACAGAGAGCTTGTTTCTGTAAGACCCTTGATGCATTGCTGCAATCACTTCCCAAAACTTCAATAAAAGTATGAAGCAAGAGGAGTTTGATTATCTTTCTCAGAATTATTACTGTAACATCAACATCAAATATATTTCTTTTCTTTTTTTTTTACATCAGTATTGGCTGTGGCATTGGAAAAGGTAGAGAAGAGTTCTGGCCCGCTAGTTGGAAACAGCATAGCTTCAATTCAGAAGAGCACTGCCCCTGAGGTTATTATTGAAAATTTCATGGAATGATGCTTCTGAGCACAGCAGTCGGAATACAGTTTACACACTCTTCTCTGATTCAGATGCTGCTAGCACTCATGGATGAAGCGTATACTGGATCAACAGTAGGAGATGCTGGCACAGATGTTGAATCTGTGGACAACACAATTGCCTTATCTGATCCACTTTTTCTCGAACTTCTCAAGGATGAGAATGATGGTCTTGCTGTATGGCCCTTCTGTCATAACCTCAATCCTTTTTTTTTGCTTTCTCTTGGCTCGTTATTCGATCTAAACCTTGATGCACAACACTTTTCCTTTATTGCATTTTCTTATTTAAAATAAGTTGTTTCGTGCATAGGGTGTGGTGTTAAGCTAAATTGTTGCAAATGGAACTCTGGTGGAACTGAATGTCTTATGATCTTAATGTTCCAGGAGCGCAATTGGACATCTCCTGCCATGACTGCAACTTTGCAGGCTGTAACTAATGCTCCTCAGTCTGATAGACTGAAGCAGGCTCTCAGAATTGCACCTAGGCTTCTTGATGTGTACTTCACTACAGCAATCCATGATGTCAATGATGGTATGTTCTGAAGTATTCAGTTATTATAATGATGTTTCTAATGTAGTGCTTGTATCTGAAAGTAAAAATGATATTCTGATTTTTTTTAACCTATCCTTGCAGCACTTTTATGCTCTCTTATCCCCATCCTCATGGTGAGATATTCCATGCTGTTTCCTGACAAAATTTTCTCCTATGAGGTAATTAACTGCCTTCAAGTATGTATGGTTGTGTAATTTCTTGTGAAGCATATGTGTACAGTTTTGTGAAGAACATCTCAACAGGAGAGATAATGTTAATGATAGTGGTGCAATAGAAATCTGTTTTTTAATTTATAAAATTGTTTCATGAACATAACTGGCTTTCTTGGTCCGTTGAGCTGTTTCCGGAAACAGTCTCTCTACCTTCTTTACCTTGTAAGGGTAGGGGGGAGTTTGTACGTACTACGTACACCCATCCCTAAGACCCCACTTGTGGGATTACATTGGGTAGGTTGCTGCTGTTGTTGAACTTGCTCTGTTCTATATGATTCTCTTGTCAATTGCTTTCTGGAATGATATACGGAGTATTACATATGCTTTTATGATTGTGTAGTACTGTATTAAGACAAAATGTGGGCAAGCATTTGCAGCTTAGTTTTTCCTTGTGATAGTATAAATTCTACCGGCTCATTAAAAATTTACAAGAACCATTGCAAACAAAGTGGTGGGCTGTTGGTTTCAAAAGGCGGGGAAAAGAAATGTCTGTAGGTAATATTTCTTGTATGTTCCTATGTGCTACCTATTTGGCTATTTTATAGAGTTATTCTATGGTACAGCGTAGATACATGCATAGTTATCTCGGTACCAAGGCGAGGGGCGCCGCTAGCAACGCCGGGATGCCTAGTTGACTACGCGACTAGTCATAAATGATAAAATATAGTAACATTAATAAAAGTATATTTCATTAAGTACAAACGTCATACTCAACATACCTAATATCCATCTGAAACAAAATAAGGTACATTACTTACTATGCCGTTGATTGGCCAAACAAACAAACCAAAACTGATAATGAATGACTCCAATGTGGGACGAATGCCAAACTGATTACTACGTGCAACCTTTGGACAAGGATGAGAATTGCCTCAGAGATCAAACAAGGACTACCAAATACTTTTCCGTCAAGACAGAGCGGACTAAAAGACTGTTAAAGCAAAATTAAGGGGACTAAAGACTAATGCTGGATGGGAGTTGGGACTGCTGGACAACTACGTTTCTTCATGATTTGCAATCAATGTTGGCTGAATAAAGGAAACAACCAAATACAATGTTGTCAAAACTGAGCGGACTGAAGACTTTGCTGAGACAACATCCAATGGTTTCTAGGTGATTGGACTATGGACTGCTCCGCAACAGACGGGATAAGTGGTAGCTTTATGTGACCACCAACGTTCAAACAAGGACGGACGGCAAACAAACGACTTATGGCATGCACCCTACTACTAAACAAGGATGCGTGACCACCAACTGCCAAACAGGGACGGACGACAAACAAACGACGGATGATGTGCATCCTACTACCAAACAGGGACATGTGACCACCAACAGCCAATAAGGATTGAAACATAAACCATTGGGTTGCTGCTCTACAAACTTACCAAACAATCAGCAGAGGCAGAGACGGTACGGAGGGACAACTGCGACAGTGCTGAGCCGGATTTTATGTTTTTGTTTACAGCAACGTGATGAACTGGGATTGATTGTTACGGTTGAAATCTGGAATTCCATGCAGAACAGAGGCTGAACAATGTTGTTGCAGCTGAAACCTGGAACATGCAAATTGATTGTTGCAGAGGTTGAAATCTGGAACTTGCAGTGAAGGCACCAAGAAACATATCTTAATTACTCATCGACAAAGACTGAGATGACAGATACTAACTAACAATGACCCAGTGAGCAATCACCCAATGTTGCAGCTGGACTCCTTGGTGAATAATCCCCCAAAGTGATTGGCCAAAAAAAATCACCCAGTCATGAACAGTTTGATGCCGAATAAACGTGGCTGGCAGAAAAAAATCACCCAAGTGATTGCTGGAGAATCCTGGACCAACCTAACAATTGCTAGAATAGCAAGCCGGAGGACTATCACCGCAAGAGACAGACCGGACGTCGGACGATTCCGATGTTGATGAAACAAGCCTAACAAGTGTTCATCTCTGAAGTGCGGTTGCCAATCAATCAAATTGCTTTGCTTTACAGCGAGTGGTAAAAGGAACCAAAGCCGTTGTTGTCAGACAAACAACGGGCAACCGCTGCTGCGGAAGGGACTGGCTAGGGCAAGCAACCGTGACTAGGGTTTGACATGGCCAGAGTTTGGCTCTGATACAATGGAGAATTTAAACAGACCAAACTGAATTTATTAAATACAAATGTGGTATTTATATAGGTTGCTAGTGACTAGTGTGACCTAAGTATGAGTCCTTATACAATAATGACAAGCCCATTATGAATGAACCTACTAACAGCGTCCATCACTACCGAAACTTCTGTCATTTAGGGTTAGTCGCGTTGTCCTCACAGGTTTGTCACACATCTTCGACACTGCCATTCCTTAATTGCTTCTGCTCGTATAATTGCCGCTTTAATTTAAACATAATTGACCAGAAAAACAATTGACTTAAGGTCAAACGCTTATATCATCGGGAATGGACACCTTCGTTCAAGAAAGGGTATGGCGAGGCAAACAAACATGGGGAGCATAATCCGAAAGCCTAGTTGGCCACTATGCGATTCTGTAATAACACTGTACATGACTACCATAGTACCATACTACAATCATTCCTCAATCCTCACCTAAGACTTGTACAACTCATATGCACTCTAATAAGAAACATATTGTTCACTAAATGAAATTTGTTTGGAGTAAACACAAATGGGTGCTCACTACGTGGCATGTGCACAATCATTGGACATAAAAGAAAACTTAAATGTTCACCATCTTTAAACTAATTGCTTACTAATTTAAGTGTGTACAGTATTCTCGTACTTGAAGTAGTCAGATAGAAACATAAAATCTCTCTACATTGTGCCCCATTTGTGACTGTCCAACCAACATTTTGGGTTAAACAAGACCTTAATAATAATTTACAATAGTAATTGAAGAGCACTGGAAATTCATTGCTAAGATGTTTATTGGTACACATAAGGACTATGAAATCACTTGCTCATCAACAATATTATGATGCATCCATATCAACATTGGATTGTTTGTAATGTATAGTTACTCATGCTTGTAGGTGCAAAAAAGGATTTTAGAATTCATGCTTGCGGCATTCCACCGTTCTCCTAATTTTGTTGCACTTTTGAAGGTATCTATGTCATACATGCTTAATGCTTGTCACTTTATTCATGGCAACCATTTTATACTCGAATTGGGTATTAGAGCTAAGTTGTATGATTTAAAAAATCTTAATTACTTGCATCTTTGCCTTTTGTTAACAAAACCTACTCGTTCTTATTCATTAGAAGAGAAGTCAATGCAACCACAAAAACACACTCCCTCCCCCTTAAAACTAATTTCCCGGTTTGACCAGTGGAAACATTATGGATATAAATAAATGAAACAATGAATAACTAAGACCTCTATGCGCCAGCTGACTAAGCAACAAGAAATGACAACAATAAACCGAGTAAAATCCCACAAAGTGGTGTCTAGGGAGAAACACAAATGGAAAAGGATAAATTAAGGCCAAAACTATGGTACTACAAGAAATTTGAGATTTTAAACGAATACTCCAAGATTTCATAATGATTACCGTATTTTTAGCGAAGAGAACTTGAGGCAACCATAAAGTGTATTATGCAAATATATAAATGAAACAAACAGAGTTTGTAAGGCGCCAAGGCGAGGCGCCAATGTACCTTCATATCGCCTAGACGACTAGGCGCCAATATATATATATATATATATACACACACACACACACACATACATCTATATATATATATATACATACATATATATAGGGATTGACTCCAGTCAGATGACACCTTACGGTGAGATGACATGCTTCGGTGAGATGATGCCAAGCTCACCAATGGCCAATGCAAATCTCACCTGAAAATAAAGCAAAGCTCACCACTTTGAACACCAAAACTCACCTTTTTTAAAAAAAAAATTTGAAAACTAAAATATTAATTTAAAATAAATTAGCAACACCGGTCAACCACCGGTCAGCAGCGAAGTCCGGTGAAAAAAGAACAATAATGAAAAAATTTAAATGAATTGGGTCTTTGGTGACGGTTTGATCTACAGTCAACCACTTGTTACATTTAGTATTGTTAAATTAGGCTTCATGCGTATTTGAAGTTTGGACCCTGCGTGCATCCGACCCCCCTTACCCCGCAATGGGCGGGAGCCATTGAGGCACTGGGGTAATGTTGTTGTTGTTGTACCATTAATATGAGATCCATCCAAAATGTTTGCAGAAGCCTATAACAGATAGACTTGGTGAAGCTTACAATAGTCTTGCAAAGGTAAGCAGATTAATGACGGTCCCATACGAAATACAATGAACTTTTCCATCTTGGTTAATTCTGAAGAGAAAATAAACATGGCTAAAATGTTTCTTTTAGGGGTGAGCAAAATAACCGGACCGACCGTGAAACCGAAAACCGAAAACTGAAATAACCGAGTTTTCGGTTTCGGTTACCTATTCTCAAATTATCGGTTTTTCGGTTAGTCCGGTTGGTTTTCGGTTATTTAATTCGGTTAGTTCGGTTAACCGAATAACCGAAGTCCATATTCACCCCTAATGTTTATTAAATTAATATTACCAATTTTTAAGTCCAAATAAGTGAATTAAGCTCAAATATGTCATTTTAATCATTATTCCTTCTATACCCAAAATACCTATTTTTCCATATTCATCCCTTTGTTCCTCTTTTTTTAATTAATCCTTAGTTCTGTTTTTTATTAATTATTTTACAAATTAAATTGTTAAATAATTTTTTTACTAATAAAATCTACCTTTAGTAAATATTAATTTTTTATAACTTAAATCTGTACATATTTAAAAATAGATGTCTTAAATATGCATTTTGCATTTTTTGTAATTATAGTTTACTTTTATTTTTTATTATTTCATAATTAGATTAAAATTCAAGGTCGGATCGGTTATTTTCGGTTTCGGTTCGGTTATTGTCGGTTTTGGTTTGTTCGGGTTTAATCCAAGGTCGGTTCGGTTCGGTCGGTTATTTTGAATAATAAATTTTTTCGGTTAGTTCGGTTTAAACCGACCGAACCGACCCGATGCTCACCCCTAGTTTCTTTACCCAACATGTTAGACTGAATTGGCATTACAATTATGTTGGGCTATTGGGGAGTATGGAGGAGGCGGGGAATCCTATAAAGATGCTGCTCGTGAACTTTTTGAGAGCTTGGAACTACTATTGTATGAAAACCTCTCCTCAAGGTATATCAAACATATATATGATTCTCCAGCTTGTTTCAACTGGACAAAAAACTACAACGCCACCTGGTTGAAGACTTAATATTTTTTTGTTTTCAATGGTAAGCCGGCTGGGCATGGGAGAAGCAGCTATTGGCGGCTCAGACAGTTTGTCATTTAGAAAATCTTCACAATCTAGGCTTTTATGCTTTGTTGTAACAGCAATAGCAAAGCTTGCCACATCTCATCGTGAGTTACTTCCAAGAGCCCGTGTATCATTGGCTAAGGTAAGTAGTGATCTGGGGCTCTGAGCTTGGGATACTGTGTGATTGTTCAGATGGTAAATTGATGCAGTAATCTTTTTGAAAAATTTGCTAAATGGATATGGTAAGTTAGTGGTGGGTATCTCCTTTTCATATAAAAGTATTCATGGGAAATAATAGTGATTCCCAGAGTCTTAATACTTGGATTAATCTTAGTGCCACTTGGTAAACCTTAGCAAAGAAATTCATATTCATGCATCAAGTGAGATAAAAATGAAAATCTGGGATGAAGTGGGAGTGGGAATGACAACAATATCCTTTTCAAAAAACAAATTTGTAATAGTGGATCAATGCATATTTTTATAGGTTGCCAGATCTCGAACTACAGATGTGAGGGTTTGGAGCCGTGCACGAGATTGTCTAGGCTTAATGAATGAGCCTGCAATATGCTTATCGGTGTTGGGGCCCTGTAAAACTACAAGTAGTGCGGGTGTACAACGTCCTGGCACTGTAAATTGGAGTGAAGGTGGCACCCAAATGGTTGCCCACATTCCCTTCTATATTTTAGGTAAAGAAGATGAAGGTAAGTTGACGGTTAAACTTTATTACTTAAGCTGCAATAATATTTGCAAAACTGATTATCGTGCTGATTATATTCTTCTGCTCCGCATTCCTCCAGGCCTTCTTTCCCATGATTTCTCATCAATGGATATTCTTCCACGAAAGTAATTCTATTTGGAGGAAGAGGTATGTATAATTCATACAAGATAGGTGCCGATATATACATTACGGGACACCCCTTCTTTTCTAGGAAGATATAGTAGGAACACAAACTGCAGCACTAATGAAAATCTTTTGTAAGGAGCCTTTTCTTCCTCAACTTTTTTAACATCTTTAATTTCAACTGTCTATGGTTATAGATATTTTTTTGTTCTTCTGTGGGGTGAGTAAGAGTACAATGAAAAATGAAGTAATGAATATAACTAAATCATGTACCTGTCATTACTGTTGAAATATAGACTTTACTTAGGCTGCTTCTCTCAACTTAGCATCACGTCAGCTTTTTCTTTTATTTTTCCTTCTCTCCTTTTGGGGGTGGTTCCCTTTCCCTTTTCTTTCCAGTTTTAATATTGTCTTGTGACACTTAATTAAAATAATTAAACTAAATACATAAAATACAATTTAAAAATACTTTTGTCCCAATTTATTTTCTAGTTTGATTTTTTCGAGTCAAACAAGATGAACTTTGAGCTTTAATTAAACAAAATTTGTAATATATATTAGCATAAAATTGTTTTACTCCGTATTAGATTAATCCTATTGAGATCTAACTAATTAAGACTAATTGAAGTTCAAAGTTTTTTCAAGTTGACTCAAAGATTAAGCGGTTGTACAAACTTATAAAAATGCAAAATATTAATGAAAAAAGGGAATAAAAAAACTTAAAAATTGAAAAAAAGAAAAGATGCATCAAAAAAAGAAAAGTACTCCTTCTCACATAGATATTTCTAATTATTTTAAATATTTAGAAATGGTCTTGTTTCCTACTTTACTGTATACAGGATCCTACGTAGTTGAGAACACCCGAACAAGAAAAAGACTCTATTTCACCTTCCATTAATTAACCAAAAAATGATTAGTTAATTCGAAAGAACTTCTTTCGTAAATAGAGATTAGTTCAAATTCACTCATTAATAAAAAATAAAACAATAAACCAAAATGTGGAACTAACTTTCTTTATTCAGAATGAAGTGTCTACCAGAATTTTACTACTCAACGTCCACTAATTGAAGGTTACATGATGGTGAAAGTGTTCGAAAATACTCCGTACATGTGACCACTGGGATTATACCGAAATATCTCAATTACAAAAGACTAATTTTGCCAAATAACCCCTACTAGTAGCGCTTTAAACCTTTATTAAACCTTATTTTCTTTAAATCTTATACCCGCGTACTAAATTTAAGCTTCAAAAACTTCATTTTCTATATTTTCAATTTTATTTTTTTTATTGGAAAGAAACTTCATTAATTCAACAAAAATAGGGATACAAAATAAATAAAGTTTGATCATGTGAATAGTAAATGCATAATATAATTTGAAAGAGAGTGAGTACACTCCCTCCGTCTAAAACTTATCTTCCTGTTGCACGTTACGATGTTTAACTGAGATTATTTTCAAATCATTTTATATAAACAATGGTGTAGAATTTAAAAATAAGAATTACTATATACGGAGTATTTAAAAAGCACATCAAAAGACCTATAAAATAAGAGATGACATTACTATATTATTTTATCAATTAATCAACGAATATAGGCCAACAAAGTAAAAAAAAGTTTGGCCTTGTGAAAAGTAAACAGGAAGATAATGTTTGGCCGGAGGGAGTGCGAATTTTATACTCCCTCCGTCCCAAAATAGATTATAAATTTTTTTCCTCCTCTCGATAACTTTTTTTATTTGTTCTTTTTTATTGAATATTTGATAAAATAAAATATTCTTATTACCTTTGGTTTTGTAGAACTTTTGACATAATTTTTTTAATATGTAATTTTTATTTCATTTTTATATACCAATTTGTAAATAAAATAATTTCAAAAGGCGGAAGATTTTATCTCGTAATTCTCAATTTGTAATCAAATTAGAGAGGGATGAAATCAAAAAAGGAAAAGTTTTTTTTGGAGAGTAGAGATTGAGTAGGAAAAATGGGCATACAGTGAGTGTAGCCGTGTAGGGCAAGAAAGTAGCAAATTGTTTATTTTTGTTGAATCTTTAATACACACTCCGTATTTTTTTTAAAATAATCACTCCAAATAGAAGTAAAACATAGAGAAAATATTGAAATATGAGCTTTGTAAAAATTGATAAGAGAGAAAATCTTTCTGTATATTCAATTGTTCTGTTTAATTACAAGGAGTTTCTCCTTTATTTATAGGAGAGGATGATTCCAAAATAGACAAGGAATACAAATTCTACAAGGAAACAAATCAATAATCAAATTAGGAAACAAATAAATCAAGATCAATCCTAATTAGAATGGGATTCAGTCTTCATAGGAGTTGGACTTCTCGAGTTCGGATTTCTCGGAATTCGGATTTCTCGGAAGTTGGACTTCTCCGGATCCGGACTTCTCAGTTCCAATACCCCCCCTCAAGCTGGAGCGTGCGGATTTTGCGTGCCCAGCTTGGACAGAAAATGTGAGAATGGAGCGGAAGCCAAAGCCTTGGTAAACAGGTCAGCCGGTTGATCGATGGTGGAGACATGCCGGGTACATAGAACACCTTTCTGAATTTCATCACGCACAAAGTGACAGTCAATCTCAATGCGCTTGATTTTATAGACCCACTTTGATCCAATCGTTTTCCTTCCACGAGGTAAAGGGACAAGCAACCAGGTACCATTAGCTTCCAATGCCTGAATTTCTTCCTTCATAGCTCGTACCCAGAGTGGGTTTTTGACCGCCTCAAAAAAGAATGTAGGCTCAACATCTGTACTTATAGCTGCCAGAAAACATCTATGGGAAATATAAAATTTGTCAGCGTTAATAAAATTTGTAATACAGTGCGCTGTACCTGAAGGCGGCGTCGGTGTGGGTGAATCAGGAGAGGAACGTTGAATGGTGTGAGTGACGAAGTCACACAGTCGCGAAGAAGGACGACGTTCTCTTTCACTTCGGCGCAAAGTGTCTTGGGTCGGAAGGGTTTGGTTATCAAGATCAGGGGAGAGCCGAACATTTTCAGTGAGTTGGCTGTTTGGTGGTGCTGATGTGGAGATATCTGGGTACGGTCGACCGTGGTCCTGAGAACGGTCCATCGAATCGACCGTCTGAGTGGCAGTGTCAGGTTCAGAGGGTGACGGTCGACCGTTGTTGGAAGTTTCTTCACTGGGTATTTCCTCCTCAAAAAACTCAGCAGTGGGTTCAGTGTCTGTGAGATTAGGGGTATTTTGCGGGTGAAAGGGAAAATTATTTTCAAAGAATTTGACATCTCGACTGACAAATATTTTATTGTTGTCCAAATCGAGAAGCCGCCACCTCTTTTGGCTGAATCGGTAGCCAAGGAAAACGCATCGACGAGAACGGGACTCAAATTTGTCTCCATGGTGAGATTGATTGTGGGCATAGGCGAGGCATCCGAAAACACGGATATGATTGTATGAGGGGTTTTTCTGAAAGATCAGGGAATATGGGGTTTTGCCTTTATGTAG